CCGCACTGTCATCCAGATTCATATGTGTGAGGAAGATGAAGGTGACTGCTTACTCTTCCTCACTGGTCAAGAGGTAAGACTTACAACGCTGACATTACTGGTCCATTGGGAAGCCTCATTATTGTCACGTCGGTCTGTGTCTCGAACACCAAAATGAAACCTAACCTTCTGCTTTCAGGAAATTGATGAAGCCTGCAAACGGATCAAGCGTGAGGTAGATGACCTTGGACCTGAAGTTGGAGACATCAAAATCATTCCCCTGTATTCCACGTTGCCGCCGCAGCAGCAGCAAAGGATCTTTGAGCCTCCTCCTCCAAGGAAACCCAACGGCGCAATAGGAAGAAAGGTCAGTTTTGAATAATAGAGATATAGGTTTCAGCTTAATTACAATATGAGTTTTAAACCAAATCAAAGTTGCATTTTCTGTTGTTGAATGACTTCCCATAATGCATCTTTTTGCACCTAATTATCAGATGTTGATAATAGATGTCTGACAGACTGCTGTTGCTTCTTCCTCTCAGGTCGTGGTGTCGACAAACATTGCTGAGACTTCTCTAACAATTGATGGTGTGGTGTTTGTCATTGATCCTGGATTTGCCAAACAAAAGGTGATATAATCTTACATGTTTTGTCCTACATAAAATCTTTGGTTAGCATCATTCTGTAAAACTTGTTATTATAAACGTAGATAAGTTTTGTTGTTCACTAGTGGTCCTGTTTTCCTTGTTTACAATGTAAAAAAAATGCACATCTCAGGTCAGTTGTTTAATTAACCATTGTTCCAAATGTGTGTCCAGGTGTACAATCCTCGTATTAGGGTTGAGTCTTTGCTCGTCACAGCCATCAGTAAAGCTTCTGCCCAGCAGAGGGCAGGACGAGCTGGCAGAACACGTCCAGGAAAATGCTTCCGCCTCTACACAGAGAAGGCCTACAAAACAGAAATGCAGGCAAGTGACCACGGTTACATAAACAGGAGGCAGAAAAACGCTCAAAAGCATACTTCTGTCGTTTCATTTTTCATTGGCTCCTTGTAGTTTAATCAGAATTATATTGTCAGATACATTTAACATGGTAATCATCCCTCGGCAGGATAACACATACCCTGAGATTCTTCGATCCAACTTGGGATCTGTTGTGCTGCAGCTGAAGAAGCTTGGTATTGACGACTTGGTGCACTTTGACTTCATGGATCCACCTGGTGAGTCAGTCTGCATAAAGAATACTAAAACATCCAAAGGGCTCGAGTTGGGCATGACCCTCTGACCCTCCTTCTCTCCCACCGCAGCTCCAGAAACACTGATGAGGGCCCTTGAACTGCTGAATTACCTCGCAGCTCTCAACGATGACGGTGACCTGACGGAGCTGGGCTCCATGATGGCTGAGTTTCCCCTGGACCCCCAGCTGGCTAAGATGGTCATTGCCAGCTGCGAGTTTAACTGCTCTAATGAGATCCTTTCCATTACTGCCATGCTGTCAGGTAATGCCCAGGACTGGGCTGACATCTTCCTTGCCTTCTGTAGGCCCACTCTCTTGGGGTTAAAAACACGGCTATTCACTGCTGGTGGTGAAAAGAAGTGTCCCACCTAGAATTTAGATTGTGCACAGCATTGTGGAACACAAGCAAATAAATGCAGGACTATTAATCATACTTTATATTTAATTTGCTATTATTTCATATTTTAATTCCTGTGAAAGTCTTGATGTGGCATCTCAAGCACTTCATTCAACACCATATGTAGCATCAAAGTATTGCCCCAGTGTTGCATGAAAATGCTTCTTCCTTTAATTCTTTCTGAGAATCATTTTTGTTTTAAACCGGTTGGCAACAAGTACAGCTTATTATGTCAAGTTACCCTCTGTGTGTAGTTTATTGAAAAGTTGTGCAACGTATTTAGTTTGAACAAATATTTGAGTTTGTAAGAGTTTTAAACAATCTTAAGTTTTAAGATTTTCATTGTTCCTAACAAAATAAATATTGTATAGGGAATATAGTGTATGTAATAATGAAAAAGCTTTTTTAATCTACAGCTTTAGTTTTGGTTTGAATGTGTTAACACTGGACAACTTCAGTTAAATGTTAAAGCTCTCCTTGAACTGACAGTCAATTTGTTTTTGACTTTTAATTTTAGTTTTAATTTATGGTCATAGAATATACAGTATGTTTAGTGGATAGGGCAGGCACCACTTACTTTTTTCATATTCGTCACATTTATGTGAATTTTCTTTTCATTGAAATAATGCATTATGAATTTTTGCTGTTATCATTTTATATAGTTATCGTGTGTAGCCTATGAGTATTTTTATTATCTGCTCTCTTAAAGGCCTAACCCCATTGTGTCTCAATACCAAGAAGTTAAATTTCTGAACCTTGAAAAGTTAAACATTGCTGGTGTCCCTAACACTTTGTAGTTGTGTGAAAACTCTTGTTTTACAGATGTGGTTAAATGACCCCCTCTCTACGAGCTAATAGCCAATACAGTTGGGAATGACCATGAGAAAAGCCTGCAGCCCCCTTTGATAGAGCTTGTGGTCCTGCCCTGTCCCAACGCAGTGTCGAGTGCCCTAGCATCATAGGCTTTGCTCCATTTTTCTGTGAATGTTTGACTCATCCCTATGGGCGGCTTTGTTGGGGCCCATACCAACCTTGTTTAGTCCCACAGTGTTTTGTCCGCCCCACGGAGGCTAAGAAGGCAGCAGACGAGTCCAAGATGAGGTTTGCTCACATCGACGGAGACCACTTGACGCTGCTCAACGTCTACCACGCCTTCAAACAAAGTGAGCACCAGTCTAAGTTCTGCACCATACTCCTGTTTTTTTTGTTTTTTTTTTTGCATTATGTTGCAGCACTGAAATGCTTGCACTTATAATATTGAAGAAGCATTTATTGAGTGTTTAGGTACTTTGGATGCAACAGAACAAGCTAAAATAAGCAGATAGTAACATAAGTATTCATTTTGAGTCCTGTATTTAATCTACAACAACTCATGAGGAAAATCCATCCTCAGTTTCAGCTGTAGTTAGAAACCATGATCAGAGTGAAGGTGGGGGCCAGAAAGCCAAAAAAAAGTACTAAATCACTTCATAAAGCAAATTTGCTCTCTATTTTAGTGATGCCGTTTACATTTTTTTTATCCATAGTTTATATAAAAAAATGTTGATCAGTGCAGCTTTGAGTTTGCTGTAAAAATAACATCAAACGCTTCCCATTCCCATTTTGAAACACCTGACATTTAATTAAATTTCTGAATCTCTGTTATACTTTTTTCCAGACCACGAGTCTAACCAGTGGTGCTATGACAACTTTGTCAACTACCGTTCACTGATGTCTGCTGACAATGTGCGGCAGCAGCTGTCCAGGATCATGGACCGCTTCAACCTGCCCCGTCGGAGCACAGAGTTCACCAGCAGAGATTACTACATCAACATCCGAAGGGCGCTCTGCACTGGGTTCTTCATGCAGGTGAACACACAAGGATGCTAGCTGACATGTTAATGATAGACTTTATAACACACCATAATGCAGCTATAAGTAAAAATCATGGCATTTTTAGGAGTAGAGTACAGTAATTGCCAAAATTTATAACATCTTTGAAGATGTATTTTACACTGTAATGTTACTATTCATTATTTCTTCATACGAAATGTTCTGCTCATGGGTGCACACAGGAGGAGATATAGTTGTTTATAAATGCATTCATAAACCACAAAAGAACATTATAGTGTGTAATAAACCATGTCTGAGCTGTTTATATACTGCTTATAGATGCTACGGGGCTCCAAGATGATTTTACAAGAAAATTGCTAATTTTGCACCAGAGATGTTTGTTTTCTAACTTGTTGAGGTCCTTCTGCATTTTCTTTCGTCGCATTCTGCAGGTGGCTCATTTGGAGCGCACAGGTCATTACCTCACAGTGAAAGACAACCAAGTGGTCCAACTCCACCCATCTACAGTCCTGGACCACAAGCCCGAGTGGGTGCTCTACAATGAATTTGTCCTCACCACCAAGAACTACATCCGCACTTGCACAGACATCAAGCCAGAGTGGTATGTGTGCTGAGGTTTCAAAAAGTTTTACTAATACAGGTTCCTCAAGATAAATCTCTGTAACTGAACTTTGTTTGTACATGATCGCACTGACAGAACTAATCATGATCCTCTTTCTTTGGTTACAGGCTGGTGAAGATTGCACCCCAGTACTATGAAATGAGTAACTTCCCACAATGTGAAGCTAAAAGACAGCTGGAACGAATCATTGCCAAACTAGAGAGCAAGGAGTATTCCCAGTACTGAACAATAGCCAAGAAGTGTCCTGGAAAACAACTGCGTACTATAGTTTTAGATCTTTCTGTATCATTGTATCTTAATGTTTAAAATTTGGCATTTTGATTTTTATATTTTGTTTGCTTTTTCTTTTTTTTTCCCTTTTCCCATCAATGTTAATTCTGTAACTAAGTGTAATGTCAGATGAAATATCAGCAGCAAATCTTAGACTTGGCTATAAAAGATTTTCAAAAGGAATATCAGAAACATGTCATTTAGATGTGGTTGACTTTCCTTTAGGGGATTACTGAGTCATAAAAAAAAGAATTGTGCTTGCTTTGTTTCTTTAATAAAGGAGCTTTGACTTAATTTCCGTGTAGATATTAATTAGTAAAACCTGTTATTATAACAGTTGTGTGGTCCATACAGGAGTTTTAATGTTTCACTTTTGTGTTGAGATATAAATTTGGTCAAATAAATAAACAGAACCAATACACAGGTTAATATGGGCACTATATTGTTAAAGTACATAATATTACTTTGTCATACAGATTATCAGCTTGTTAACTTTATGTTTTGGTTCTTTAAAATTCTTAGCAGCCAGATTGTTATAGTTCAACTCACCTTTTTTGTATCACCTAACATGGAGCTTAGTTTATAATTTAATCCATTGTACAGATTAAATATCGATTGTTTTCTGATTTAAATCTTCAGGGAACAAAATCAGGTCTGAGGCACTTTTCATTAAAACAGTTTGTTTTATCACAAATGCGCATATTGTATATAATTCACTGGTAATCCCTTACTTCAAGTTCCCCCGCTTAGCATTTACAGTATAAACAGCATACAAGCATTTAATAAATGGTTTATAACACACCATAATGTAGTTAGATGCTATAAGGACATTGTACAGTGTTTATCAACAATCATAAGTTCTATGAAGAAATTTCAAACAAATGTATTTCTCTATATTAATAAAAAATCTGCTTACATTTATGTTAAAGTACGGGACTTACAGTAAAGTGTCGCTAATTTATCTAATTACAGGGATCCCCAATCTAGAGGTTACAAGATAAAATGTAGAGGTCAAAAACCGAGAAAGATGGAAATGATATCCTTCAAACCAACCAATATTTATTTTCTGCTTCAAGAAAAAACTGCACATAAATTCACCCAGAACAGACTGTTAAAAATAACGTTGCTTGACTGAGTATGTGCCAGTGACAGTGTTTACTACCACTGCTCTTCAATATCCTCTATGGTCTCTGGCAGGCACCTGTTGCGTGTCTCTGACAGCATTCTTGCCACTATTCCCCCGACTACAGCTGCAGAGCACAGGACAACTTGCGGCAGTTCCTTCCAGACATCATCCAATAAGAGGATCAAAGGAGCCACAGCTACACCAAGTCGAGCCATGAAGGAGTTGTAGCCCATACCATTCTGCCTATAAGAAACATTCGGAGACATTGCCTTTAACAATGATTTGATACTTGTAGGTAGAAATAATGCCCATGTATTCAATGTCCTGCAATATTGATATAGCGCAGGTTGTTGAGAGAAAGATAAAAAGAAAGGCATGCATAGTTACCTTACTACAGTGGGATAGAGCTCAGAGCTGTAGAGCACAACAGTTGCAAAGGATGCTGAAGAAAACCCTTTTCCAATGACTGCTACCACTGTTCTCACAACAGACATATCTAAGAGGAGAACATAATTTTCTTATTATTTCAGTTCATTTTTCATAATGAAAAAACTAGAATTCCTTATATACTCCAGTGCATAATGGTTGAAGCTCTGGGGTGTAAGTATGTGAAATGAACAATTATCTAGATTACCTGTAGGTACCACAATATTGATTCCAAGACAGACAGCAGCCAACAGCATAGCTCCCACCTCAGTCCGTCGCCTGCCAATCTTATCCAGTAAGTAGTAAACTGATAATTTGGCTGGGAGCTCAATTAAAGCATAGGTAAACTGAGTGAGATAGATATTGAGCCCAAAGCCTGTGATGTTGAAGCTGATGCCATAAAATGTAGTCGCCACGCAAAACCTAGGGGAAAAGAAAGTGCAAGCTCATTAAACAGTCTGTTGATACACCATCACAACATTTCATCTGGATCTTTTAAAATGTAAAACTAACTCTTTGACCCAAACACAATACATAATATATTTTACAACCTAAAACCATTGACCTAAATCACAGTGGGAATACAGACCACAATGCACCAGTACACAGGGCCAGTTTCCTCATCTTGGGTGTTCGTATCAGATCAAGGTAGGAATAGGTCCGATCTCTTTTCTCTGTCACAACAATAGTGGATAGTGTCTGAAAGAATGCAAAGCAGCATTGTTCTTTGAGCCATGTGATATACAAATAAAGGATAGTGTTTTAGGCAACACAAAAATAATTAGAATCTGAAAGATTGCAGGCCCAAGACTATGTTGTTGATTTTATTATATACATATATATATACTGTATATATATATATATATATATATATATTGGTTCTCTTGACTTAAACCTGTAGTGCAGAACTTTTGTCTCCCCCCTCTGAAAGTGAGAGTAATAGTTTCTTTATTATCTGGAGAATCAGAAACCTTTCTTCTGGACGCTTCCAAGGCTGTTCCACCATAGTGCCACCATACGCCTAGTTGCTGTAGGCTACTCCAGCTCCATCGCTATGCTTTGGTACCCTCTTCTCTTTGTGAAACCAATCATTTCTGGTTGATGTAAAAAGCATCACTTCCGGTACGCCAATGTGGGAATGTCGCCACAGACCACCAGATTTAATACTCCAGTATGCTGCGAAATACAGAGGGATTTACCTGCCGCTGATAGGCTTAATCAGCATCGTATGAACTCATTTGCTTGAATGTAACGGACGTTCATTTATATATAAAAGTCCTGCACTCCAGCTTTAACTATCATCTGCTATGCAATATACCTCTGTTTTAAGTGTGTGAATTAACTCTTCTGTTCCGTTCATTGTGGCGCATTTTTTCAAATACGTCTGAGCTTGCTCCAGCTTTCCATTGGCGATGAGCCACCTAGCCGATTCTGGCATCCACCTAATGTTGAAGGCAAAAAGGTTTTTTAGTCCTAATGCATTACATGGCAATAACTTCCATTGCATATTTACATTTAAAGCATAAACCATAAATACTGTGTACATCTAGCTGTGGTTGGATACAGGCGTAAGATAGAAGTAGCAAGTTTAATGAGGCAAATTTCCAAGCACCAAAGTCCTCATCAGGCGAAAGCCGATTATGCTATGTTTTTCTTTCACCTGGATATTTGCCAGAGGAAGACATTGAATGTTCAAACATTGCCTTAATATGTTTTTGGGCAATGTAAGAGTGTCACTTGCCTATGTTTATAACCAATAATTAAACCAATCACAATCCCACTGAGTAAGGACTAAGGTTGTTTGATGAAAAGATCTCATTTTCAGAGTCATACCTCCAGGTGACAATGGCCAAGATTAGAGGTGATGTGACACTAACAATCAGCCACCGCCAGTCAGTAACAAAGTAGGCAATAGCTGCAAATCCTGTGTTCCCAAATGTCCATGATAAACTATCGATCACTCCCACCAGTTTCCTGTGCTCAACGTCCACCCACTCCACACCTGCAAAGAACAAACATCCCATCACTTACTTTGCAACAATCGCTTGTCAGAAAAAAACCCTTTACAATTACAACAATACTTGTAATCTTTTTTTCTCTCTCTATAGACCTGCATTTGGTAGTTTGGGCTTCTGAGGTGATGTGTTAAGATACAGAGCAGAGATTATTTACTAAGGACTGCTGAAACAATGACGATGCCAGTGATGCAAAACCCCGTGAAGAACCTCAGCACTGCAAACATCACATAGGATGAAGAAAAAGCACTTGCAACGGCAAACAGCATTCCAGACACATAGGACACCAACAGCATGATCCTTCGGCCAAACCTGTGGAAAGTCAGGACGTCTCCAAAGTTAGTGTTTCTGATTGGTTGAAACCCTAGGTGATCATACAGTAGACTGTATATACTGTACACTTTAAGTTGTAAACTGAGATACTTGTCACTCAAACTTCCAAAGGTCACAGCTCCAAACATCACTCCAATGAAGAAGATGGTCGCAGTTGCTTTGTTTTTTCCTCTTTTATCACACACCAGGTCCCACTTGTACAAGCAAATAAAGAAAGAGGACAAGTTCACTCTGAACATAAAAGACTTCTTCATAAAACTTAATTATGATGGTGGACACAATACAGTTTGTGATATTTATGAATGAAAAGTAATCTAAGTCACCTGTGAAGTCAGAGTAGATTTGAAGGTTGTGTTATCGTACACCCATCCATTCTGGCACAGCACTGTGGGCAGGTCAGTGATGTTGGAGGGGTTGAGCAGCAGATCATACTGAGGCTCTGCAAACATCTGACAGGAGCTCAGAGTCCCATCGTCCTGGACTGGAATACTAACAACAAGCCTCTCTGCTTGCGATAAATTCCTGAAATGATCTCCATCATCTAGCGAGCTGATGTCGCAGTGGTGAGAGGGAACCGCTGCTATGAAGTTGTTTAGCATGAAGTGGCAGGGCAGTGTGAAGCGTCCAATGAAGCTGATTACAATGATCATTATCTGAAATCTTCCAAATCCATTAATATCAGCAAGGACATTCTCAAACCTCATTGTGGCCTCTCACTGTGTGTAAAATGTCTTCCTTTGAGATTAAAAAGAAAAACTGCTCACACACCCATGCCTGTACACGAAAAAGTGAACAGCAAACTTGAATCAAAGACCTGATAAGACAACCTTTGGCATTTGACTCTCCCAAGAGCTGCTGTATTAAAGCTGAAATGGGTGAATATTTTACCTCACTTAACCACTAAAACAACGTGTCTGGGTGACTGTGAAGCATTCATGGTAATAGTTAAAGCAGGATCCTTATTTCACCCTTCAGATAAATGAGTCATTTGCTCATCCTTTACTGGTCATGACTCATGTAGAAATTAAAAGAATGACGTAGTGAAATGAATGAAGTAGTTGAAATGAGTATCCTTCACAAAGTGACTGGATGCACCCTTAGCTGTAGGGTGACGAACTCAGTCAACTGGACAGACTGCTCTCCAACTGAGAGGAGACCCTTCAGCACCTGGGGGATTATACACTTACAGAGCACTTTATTGGGAACACCTGTACAACTGCTTATTCACTCAGTTATTAAACCAGCCAATCATGTGGCAGCAGTAAATGCATAAAATCTTGCAGACACAGGTCAGAAGCTTCAGTTAATGTTCACATCAAACATCAGAATTGGGGGAAAAAATGTGATCTCCATGACTTTGACTGTGGCATGATTGTTGGTGCCAGATGGGTGAGTATTTCCGAAACTGCTGATCTCCTGGGATTTCTGCTAAGGCAGCTGTTGGGGTGGGTTAGAGTTTGGTGTCAACAGCATGAATCTGTTGACCCAACTTGTCTTGTGTCAACAGTACAGGCTGGTGGTGTAATGGTGTTAGGCATGTTTTCCTGGCACACATCATTGTTTGAATCTCATAGCCTATCTGAGTATTGCTGCTGACCAAGTGCATATCTCTATGGCCACAATTTGCCCATCTTCTAATGGCTACTTCCAGCAGTTGTCTCAAACTGCTTTCATGAACATGATGATCAGTTCAGTGCACGTCAGCACTCACTAGATCTGAATCCAGTAGGCCACCCCTGGGATATGGTAGAACAGGAGATTTGCAGCATGAATGTGCAGCTGACAAATCTGCGAATGGACATGCAATCATGTCAACATTTCATTACATTATAAAATGTAATCCAGGCACAATCAAGTTTTTGCACAAAACGTATTTGCTGTTGCAGTTTTGTTGTATAGAAATATAATTTTTAGGAGACAGGGTTTGTCCAAGGCTATGCCAGGGATACCAGCCCACTGTTTATTTTAAAATTGTGATCAGTTGTATCAAACGCTGCTTTGAGATGAAGCAATAACGGAACAGAACGTACACCGGACTTAGTGGCCATCTGTAAATTGTTTGTGAGTAAACTGTTTTGTGCTGTGCAACTTTAAAAAATTCTGATTAAACTTCTATAAAAGGGTTTTGCTAATGGGGTTATTTCAAGGCTCCGGTTACCTCTTTGAACAATCTAGTAGGAGTGGTCTCCCATGGGGGTCGATGAGATTATCTGAGTCACTGTGGTGTCCAGTCTGCTCTGAAGATGTATTATAACCTCTTGTATTGTAAACACAACAATGGCTGATGCTCTTGGCAAAGCTGGTAAGTAAACAGCTGTTAATGCTAACGTTAGCTATGTAGCAATAGCAAAACTTACAAATAGCTCCACAAGCCGTAAGCCATGTGCCTGCAAGTTATTGGACTTCACGTTGCATCCACAGCTTCTTCTAAGACTGTGCATCTCCTCACGCTCTAATATACATAATGTACATGAAATCATGGCTTCAAATGCACAGCTGTTAAACACTGGTATGTTAGTTTCAAGTATTTATTGACATTTGCCCAATGTATTTCTTACAAAACACAGGAACATTATTATTGTGGAATCAATTCATTTTTTATTTAACATGTTACTTGCAAAACTGTTGCTTGTAGTGATGAATGCAAAGAGAAGGATCACCTGACTCTGCAGTTGCCCTCAGCTCTAAGGAGCAATTCGGTGTTTTTCTGCTCTTTGCTCTTAGTTTTACATCCTATTTTAACTTCACATTATAAAGCTTGATAATATGCCAGTATTTTGTTTATAGCTCGTTTCTGCTGCTGTTTTCATATATTTTCAGTTGCAATGGTGAAAACTTTTAAGGTGGAGATTTCTCATCTGATGTGGAGATTGATCGTCTTCTGAAACACACAAAAAAACATTTTCATCTTATGACATTTATTTATCACTGTGTTTGTTGTTTGGATGCACAATGAGAGTTATAAAGAGGAACCAGTACCCCGTCTGTTCCACGTCCTCAATTGTCTCTGGTAGACGGATGTTTTGTGTCTCAGGAAGAAAAGAAGCTGACAGCCCTGCAGCAAAAGCCACCAGGAAGAAAACAATATTTGGTAGTGGGAGCCACACTTCTTCAAGAAGCATGATCAGGGGGGATACGGATACGCCTAAACGCGCCATGAAGGAGCTGTAACCCAATCCATTTTGTCTGTGTAACAGAAAAAAATATAACCTCTGACTACAGAGAAACCATAACACATTTGTAACTATCAGGGATCTATTTCACAATACAACTGCAACTCACTTTAACTCATTCTGGGTGTTGATTGCTGCCTTTTTCAAAAGTCTCAGTAAACTTCACTTTTGGAGATGGCCTCCGGATAACAGAAATTGTTTGTAAATGTGCAAAATATAAGCTCTATATATTTTACTGACCTAATTACTGTGGGGTAGATCTCTGCTGTGTACAGATATACAGTAGTAAAAGCTGCCTCTGCAAACATCTTGCCCAAAGCTCCTACAACTGTCTTAATCATCCCCATTTCTGAAAGAAAAAGTTGGCGAAGGACATTTTAACTCTACATTGTATTATATTTAAAGCCACTATGTCCAGAATTTGAAAATTAATGACTCCCAGTGCTGTTTTTTTTTTTTTAAACTTATTTACTCTTTACTTAGGTAATCAATCTATGAAATCTAAACATGTATTATTTTTTTTCCAAGTTTTGCTTTTTCTGTTGTTGTTGTTGTATGTTATTGTTGCTGTAGTAACAGAAGCCACCATGATCTTAGTTTTTCAAAAAAGACACCTGAATTAATCATTTACCTTGAGGGAGAAACATCTTGCAGATTATACACAGTCCAGTCAGAACAAGTGTTCCGGCCTGACTCAACCTTCGACCTATTTTGCTCAAGCTGAAAAAAATAATTGCTTTTGCTGGGATTTCAATTGCACCGTAGATGAACTGTGTGAGATAAATGTTCACACCAAACCCACTGACATTCAAGCTGATTCCATAATAAGTACAGGCTACTCCAAACCTATGAACAGAAAAAGAGCAATGTAATCATGTTATACATAAGTGATAATTCACAGTAATATACAGTGTTGTGATGTATGAAAATATCCACTGCACTGAGTCTGTTGTTTTCTATTTCAGGACACTTTGGAGTGTATGAACTTGATGATACCACGGTCGCTTATTGGTTGAGCAACAGCTGAGTAAACAAATTAGACATTTTCATAATGCTTAGAAGTTAAAGTGTCAGTGTTGTTTGAAGGTAAAGTCAATCCTACATATATACAGTACAGTACCACACAATGCCAGTAAGTACAGTCAGTCTCCTCATTCTGGGAGTCTTCACAAGGTCCAAATAGGAATACTTTCTGTTTTCATTTTCCACAAGTATTACTTTGGACAGGATCTGGAGAGTGAAAGGAAAAGTTTGGTCAAAGAAAAGAATAGAGCTGTGCATCGATTTTTGTTTAGAAATGAAAAGATTATGTAAAATGTTGAACCTCAGGCTTTAGGTCAGTCATGAACTGCTCTCTGTGGTTGACCTTTGCACACTTGCTCAGGTAATAATGAGCACTGTTTAGCTTTCCATTGCTTATAAGCCACCTAGCAGACTCAGGGAGCCACCTGTAACAACATTTGTTTTGATAAAGCTCAGGTTTTTCATATAAACTCACGAGTCACACCCCTGCCTCATCAAAACTAAAAGTCTGATCTTTAAACACCGTAAGATTGTTTTCTATAAAGATTCTTTTTATTGGCAATTATTTTTGTGAAAGTTATATGCCAATATACAGAACAATAATTATGTTAAAATTATTTTTCCTTACCACCAACAGATCATCGCCAGAAACAGTGGAGCAGTTGCTGTGGCAGTCAGGTACCTCCAGTCATTCACAAAATAGGCCACAACAGGAAGCAGAGCGGTAAAAACACTCCAATCCATGCTCATTAAAACACCCACTGCAGTTCGATGCTTGATGTCCACCCATTCAATGCCTATTATGAGCAATGATACTAAATCAGATCTATTAAAATATACTTGACCATAATTATGGTAATTTAGTTTACACTTTAGCAGATGCAGATTTTTAAAAAATTATTATTAGTATTTATTTAGTTTAGAACACAAAACTGATAAAAAGGTTAGTGTGAAGGAGTATAGTTATGTACCAAAAAAAAAATATATATATATATATATATATGTGTGTGTGAGGAAAACCTTTTTGTTTATAATTTTATTGGTGTAAGACCAAAGTTGTGTTGTTGTTTTTTTTTTTTGCTGGACTCAAAAAGAAGATAGTTTCTAAAAAGCAAGAAATATATATATATAACAGCAACCATCTAATGACCTAAGCTTTATACAGTACATGTGATAAACAGCTGTGTTGTATTTGATAGAGCATTTTGACTCATCTGTGGATCATTTCTTGACTTTGGACGTACACAGTGGGTTTAAAATGAATTTGTTTGTCTTCACGGACAGTGATAAAAGAAGAAAGCATGAATCACCTCTACAAACTTAATTTTACATTATGAAAACTTCCCACATGCAACTGAGCAAATGTTTGTTTTGTTTTCCAAACATTACATAAATAAAAGACAGAGCATGATGTTCCACTCACAAAGGACAATGGTGATGATACTTATTGCAGAAATTCCAAAACCAGTGAAGAACCTCATGACAGCAAAAACGCTGAAGTTGTATGAGAAAGCACTTGCAAATCCAAACACTGTGGTGACTATATACGACAACAGAAGTGTTCTTTTCCTGCCAAACCTGTGAGGCAAAAAAATTAAGAGATAAGTAATTAGTTAATTATTCATTTGATATAATTGATATAGGCCTACAGTATGTTCAGAAGAAGTTGCAAAAGCACTTTCTTTAGGTAGACACATATATTCCTGTGTTTACAGTGTGAAAAAGAAAGTCTACAGATGTTCAGTGTGAAGTTTTGAGTCAGTTGTATGGTCAGAACTGCGCTGGCTGCACTACTATCTCTGACTGTCTTATGCATAGCTGATACCTTACAAGACAACATTTGGACTCAATTCTTGACTCCATACAGGTGCACGGAGGCTAATACAAACTAAAAACTAAAATGATATCAATATTTATATTGATATTTTCAATGTTCAGTGTTCAATGAGTTTTCAATGTACGAGTTTCTCTCATATGTTTGTGTAAAAACAAATATAAGTAAATAGCGTAAAGGTGTCTGATTTGAGAGCTGAAGTCGTGGACACCTGTCACTAAGATATCCAAATACTGCTGATCCAAGCATGACCCCGATGAAAAAGATCGTGGCTGTGGCTCTGTTCACTCTTCTCTTATCACAAACCAGATCCCACTATGGAGGGAATACATAACAGATGAAAAATAGTGAAGAATAAAGTCAAATTTGGGACCAGTATTTGTTTAATGCTTTGTACATTTAAAAAACAAAAAAAACTCACCTCTGTGGCCAGAGTGGATTTGAAGCTTGTGTTGTCATACACCCATCCATTCTGGCATGACACTGTGGTTAGGTCAGTTATGTTGGAGGAGTTGAGCAGCAGATGATACTGAGGCTCTGTATACATCTGACAGGAGCTTGGGGTCCCATCCTCCTGGACTGGAATACTAACAACAAGCCTCTCTTCCAGGGATAAATTCCTTAAATCAGCTCTGTCTTCCAGAGAGCTGATGTTGCAGTGGTGAGAGGGAATAACCGCAATGAAATTGTTCAGCAGAAAGTTAAACGGCAAAGTCACACGAGGAATTACTATCATGAAGATGATCAATATCTGGAATTTCCCAAAGCCATCTACCTCTGCCAGCACATTCTCAAACTTCATCCTGAAAATAAGTATTGCTACACTTCCAATTTGGAGTGAAGCTCAGGGAATAATAGTAAATATCACAAAGCACACAAGATGTTAGATTGAAAGTGAGCTGCTAGCCTTTTACTTATGTTAAATGCTGCAGGTTAATGGTCAGCTCAGGATGATTAGTGAATGTTTCATAAGGTAATGAAAACAGACAATTTATGCACTCTCAGCAGAATAAAAAATAGTCTGACAAGTAACGTATTTTAAAAAATTAATCATTTCTTAATGACTGCATGTTAAAACTATGTATCCCTAAGCAATACAATACTCCACCTTGAAAGATTATACTGACACGATCATTGTCTAAAGGTTAAAAAACACTTTTGTGGAAGACAATCAGTTTCGAGTGAGGAAAGAAATAATGCTCTTCTTACACCACTTGGTCATGACTGTTACAGATTGAAATAGCTTAACAAAAAAAAAAAAACATTGAATAAAAACACATCAAAGTGCCACAAATATTGAAAGATCAGTTTAACACAACAATGTACCTTAAAGTGCTGAAAGTTTTCAATTCAGGAGTAAAATAACCTAAACAATCAAACTATGCAAAATACTGCAAATAATTCCAGAACAGTAAGGCTCGGAGGATGAATCCGAATAACTTGACTTTGACTTTGACTTTTCCTGTGGTGTCAAGAGCAGATCAAATTTTTCACTTTGCCTAATACTTTCCTTTATGACCAGATACCTGCAAAACTAATTTCATTCCCAGCAAGCTTAGCTGAACTTTGTGTTTAGTGTTAATTAACAGCCAGCAAGTTACAGTTTAAATATTTGGTACAATGCCAAGGAAGAACTTACTGGATACCTACTGGTACAAGTACAAACAAGGGGGCAACACATTTGCATTTAGAGCGGACTAAGGAATAAATTGCACCACCTACTTATAACTATATAAATATAGCATAATTTTAGAATAAGATATAATGTAAATAATTTCATTTTAATATCAGCAACGTTACCCCATTGATCCTACCTTGTTACCCAGTAATAATTTTAATGTGACCTTTACTGGGACCTCGCTGTAGACAACATGATGGACCTCTGCAATTTTTTCCATGAAGGATTTTAAAAAAAATTACAGATTATATTGATAATATCTAAAAGTTTATTCATTAGAAATATATTTTAAAACACAAATGACTCTCTCTAGATTTTGAATTAAGTTTGCAAAAATGTTCGTTCAATAATTTAAAAAAATGTTTTATGTGTTGAAATCAAATTTATTTGTTAAACAATTTTAAAAAGCAATGTGAACAAGCTATGCCTATAGCTGCAAGACCCAGTGAGCTACTGATGAAAGACAGTGGTCACTAGCACTCTTATTGCATGTTCCATAGTCAAGATCTATATTAACCGTGCTATTATGTTAAAATAAATGTTATGTTTCGGGTCAAATTGACCCCATTTAAACCACCAAAATATAACTGCAATTGAAAGTGTTATCCAAGTTTACACTCCAGAAGATCAGCAAGGAAAACATAGTTCAGAACCGGAATACTTTTATATTTATTTTATTTTATTTTATTTCATTTTCTAAACACACTTTTGAACCCCAAGCCTGTGCACAGGATAAAAAAAACTGCTTCTTTTTGAGAATTGCCAAAAATAAACCATTTATCATAGCCAGAAGCTGTGAAGACTGAGAGAATCGCCGGATTTTCAACTTTCCCATGGTCGGTGAACTTACCACGTGTGACATACGCTTGCCTCAGAAAATGTGGCTGAATTTAAGGTTCAAATTGAAATCTTTCCGGATTTCAAGCGACTCACACGAGGATTCAGAGCTGTCCTAATCCGTGTGAGGACGTGTGAGTAGGGCTTATATCCTCCTATTTCAGACCTAATTTTTTTCATCATTTTAGCATGATGTATCTCTATAATATGTGTCTGGGTTATATTTATAAATATTGTAATAGCACCTGACAGATTTTCAAGAGAGTCAGAGGGGGGTTTGTGGAAGGGAAAATCCCATTTGAGGACATGTGAGTATTTTAGGTCTATATTTCATCATATTATCATGTGGTATCTCTAAAATATGTGGAATGGTTATATTTAGACAAATTATATTAGCATGTGAGGTATCATAATACATAATATATCACAATATAATAGATTATAATAGACTATTCATATTATAATAATTATAGTGCAATGTCACCTGGAGCAACAGATTCTGCTACTAAGTTTCACTTTTCTTGGGTTTTCTTCCTCTGTTGTCTTCTGTTATCCAACTCTGTTAGGTTCAGCACATAATTTAGACAGTACAACTAAGGACATGTTGAATCCTGACAGGCTGTTGGTTCAAGCCAGTTGGTTCAAGTTTTTCACAATGTCATTTGATATTGTTATTTTAAAATCATCGTCTTAAATTATTAAATTGAACCAGCTTTTACTAAATTGTGCATGCTAAGTATCACTCTCATCATTAAGAGTGATTTTTATTGAATCTCCTTCTTCCTTGTTGATTTTACTCTGCAATATAGATAAAACTTAAATTAGTCATATTTTCAGGAAAGAATATTAGCAAATGATTAAAACATAAATTATTTAGAAAGATGTAAACTGTATAAGGCTCTGAAATTATGGTTAGCTTGCTTTTTCAAGGTTAACTGGATTATTCTTTAGCTGTGAAGCTCATTCACGTGGGTAATCGTTTACTGTACATGTAATCTTCCTTTAAAATCATTTCCTCTTTACCTTGGTTTCTCAATGTCTTCGATGAACTCTGGCAATCGTGTGTTTAATGTTTCAGGCAGAAGTAAGGCCACTAAACCAGACCCAACGGCTACGGCACAGTATGTAACTTCAGGGAGGAGATGCCACACGTCCTCCAATAGCATGATGAGTGGGGATAAGGACGCACCCAGCCGTGTCACAAATGAGGTGTAGCCTACACCATTCTGTCTGAAAAATCAAAGTCAGGGTTAATGAAAACCTGTTGCACATCGGCTGCTAACAGAACAGAAGATCATTGTCTGTGGTCAAACTGGATACATGAGTTTGTTGTTGACTAACCTTACGACTGTAGGATAGAGTTCAGTTGTAAAGAGTATCATGATTGTGAATGAGGCCTCTGACAGGGCTTTTCCAAGAACAGCGACAACAGAACGAATGATCCATTTATCTGTGGGAAAATACAAAGAAGTTTGATCAAAAATATTCTCAGGTATATTAACAAAAATGCAACAAAATTAAATGATTAGATTTAAGATAAACCAAAGAAATGACCTTTTGCAACAAACAAGTTGATGAAGAGACAGAGTCCGGTCAATAGCATGGCCCATATCTGACCAGGCCCTCTACCAACTTTATCCAGGAAGAAATACAAACCAATCTTCATTGGCATTTCGATGAATGCAAATATAAATTGTGTGAGGTAAAGGTTTAGTCCAAATCCAGTGATATTTAGACTTATCCCATAATATATAAATGCAACTCCATACCTACAAAAGGGAGAAAAAAGAACTCAAACCTTGTATTGACATGCCATTTCTAACCTTGGGATGATTTAAAAAAAAAAGAAAAGAAACATTGTTAATTTGGTTACTGATATGGTTACTGATAACAGATAACAGTGAGTTTAGCCTTGCAAGTCTTTATAGCAGGGTGGAGTGTTACTGTGAGTTGTTTTGGTATCATCAAACATCTTTCAATTAAATACCATATTATATAAACTTTACATTAATACTATATAATTACATTGCATATTATCATGTAAAATATCATACTACATATTACATTACATTATTAATATTATTGTATTGTGTATTAGAAATATATTATCAATCATTAGACTTTCTAGTGTTTGATTCATGCCTCACACTGTCTTAAATTAATTAGTTTACTAGTTATTTGGAAAAGTAATAAAAAAAGACACAATAAGACATAATAAAATAAAAAAACCCTAAAGGCCTTATAAGGAGATCTAAGCAAAAAACAGAAATGAAAAAAAAAAACTATTGTAAAACTAACCTAAATCACTGTTTATCAGTGAAGGAAAACAGACATTAGCACATTGAAAAGACCATAGAAAAAACAGGACTGTTAAACATGTCATATCATATGTTATAATATATCATATGCTAATAACTAGCACATGCTACAGCTGCTACAAAAGAATACTTATTTGCTTTCTTTCTGTGAGTTAGACGTTTATTCACACTTTTCATGTTGTGCGCTAACTGCAGAGCTGGAGCCAGGCGATACTTAGCTTAGCTTAGCAAGAAGAGTGGAAACCAAGTAAACCTGGCTCTGTCCAAATTTCAAAAACCCACCTACCAGCACCTCTAAAGATCACTGATTAACATACACAAACAGACAACTTGTGGTTTTAGAGGGAGTTCAGAATGTGCCAGCTGTTTCCCCTTATTCCCGTCTTTAAGCAAAGCTAAGCTAATCATCTCCCAGCTGCAGCTCGTAACAGGTATAACAGACATGAGAGTGGTATGTGTCAAACTGTTGAAATTCACATTTACCCCAGTATCCCTGAGCATATAGAAAGTTTCCTTATATTTGGAGTCCTGAAGAGGTCAACAAAATTGTACTTCTTATCTTCAGTTTCAGTTTCAGTTTCTGCAGACTCCAGTAATGTCTGTGAGAAAGCGGGATAAAAAGCACATAAACACAGTCAAGATGTTCATTTAAAACAGATCCTTTTTCTTAATATGAGGTTGTCAACTAACCAAAATGAAAACATTGCTGAAATATACCCTTGGTGTGATGGTGGCCATACATGCTGATCTGTTGTTCATCTCGGCACATTGCATGATGTAATGATGAGCAGCATCTGCCCTCCCACGAGCCATGAGCCACCTTGCAGACTCTGGAAGCCACCTGCAGTGACAAACATGTTGAGTTAAGTGTCTCATCAGCTTCTAGTAGGATTCAGCTTTTCATGCTGCAAAGTGTGAAACATGAAATTTTAATACCTCCAAGCAATGAGGGACAGTATCAGGGGTGAGGTCACTGCCAGAATGAGCATCCTCCACTCATTTACACAGTATGCAATTCCAACCAGAATCCAGTTCCCAAGTGTCCAATCCAGACTTATGATTACACCAGAGAAAGTCCTGTGTTCAATGCTGAACCACTCGATGCCTGCAGAAACGTCAGCACAGAAAATGTCAAATCAAGAAACACTTCAGTGGAAATAAATTTCAGCACTAGCCTACTTACTTAGAACCATGGAGATGATACTTATTCCAGCGAGTGACATCCCTGTGAAAAATCTCAGGATGGCAAACATTACATCCGATGTGGAGAAAGTGCTTAGCACCGCAAACATCAAGGATGATAGATAAGAAACCAGCAGAAGTGGCCGTCGCCCAAACCTGAAGAATAAGTTCATAATTCACATGATAGGAAATATTTTGCACACAAGTGATCAAATTATTTCTCATCCCATTCTGTTATCTCAATTAATTTCTTTATGTTTCTTTTTGTTATTTAATTGTGTTGAACCTGCTATAATGAAGATTTTAACAAGTCCTGCCTGTGACATGCATAATGTTTTTCAGTTTTTTTGCACTCTGCTGTTCATGTTGTAATTTTTACTATAAACTTTACTATTAAATACCTATATACAGTAATATTCCCAGTTTGATAAGAGCTGGCACACTACTGTATGTATGCACTGTTGCAACAACCATTTTCTCTGAACTTTTTAATCTTATCTAACATTTGTTACAGTGAGTGAGGGATGTTTTGGACGTTATGGATATACATACATACATTTCATTGACAATCTTACCTGTCACTGAGAAACCCAAATAAAGGGGCTCCAAACATAACACCAATGAAGAAAACAGTGGCTGTTGCCTTGTTTATCCCTTTTCTGCTGCACACAAGATCCCACTTCAGAGAAAACATTCAAAATATTACACTATGTATTCTTTTTACATAAAACATTCACAAGTTCTAAACCACGTTTCTTACTTTTGCATGTATTATATTCACTGTACGTAAAAAAATTCTACCATAAAAGATGAGCAACCCTCAGAAAAATGTCTTTTACTTTAATGAAATATGACCCTTTTTTTTAACAAATTAAAGAATGCTTAAAGTCTTTAAGGAACACATCATATTTATTGAATGACACTTACCTCTGTTGCCAAAGTAGATTTAAAAGTGCTGTTGTCATACACCCATCCATTCTGACACTGAACAGTAAATATATTCTCACTACTGTTCTTTGTTGACCCTGACAGATTTTGATATTGGAGCTGTTGAAACATCTGACAGGAGCTCAGAGTCCCATCCTGCTCGGCTGGGATACTCACACTCAGTTTCTGTTCTAGAGTTAAATTCCTGAAGATGCCTCCATCATCCAGAGCGCTGATGTTGCAGCGGTGAGCGGGAACAGCTGCAATGAAATTATTCAGCAGGAAGTGACATGGCAGAGTAACTCGAGAGAGGATCTGAATCAAGATTAGCTTGATTTGGAATTTTCCAAATCCGTTAACTTCTGAAAGGATGTTGTCGAATTTCATTTTGCTGTGCCCGTGGAGTCAGACAAGAAGCCAAATGTGAAACAGTGATGTGAAGTAAAGTGATAGATACTAAACAGGACACATTTACCAGAACCATGTTAATCATTACAGTTGCTTATGAGTCCCAATATGGTGCAAGTACTGTCAGAATGGGCTCTACTGTAAATGCTGTTCATCAAGAGCCAAAGACCATCTGCATTTTTCATTCAAATTGGCAAAAGTGAGGTGTAAAATGAAAAAATGCTGTGTCAAAGCCAATGGTGGACAGCAAGTGGCGGACCGGCTTCTCCAAGTAAACTGCACTGGGATAGGAGAATAGAACATTTCTGATATAGCCAGTAACTACTGGTAAGTGGAGCTAGATAAGAAGGGATGATGGGTGGACTAATGGGTGGGACATGGCATTCAGATGAAACGTCCTGTCAAGCCAGTGGGGCCGGCTAGGGCAGCTTAGCCTAAGCAGATACAATGTAAATATAAGGCTGGGTCAAGCTGTTCAATGTCTTCTCTTTGTTTGACGGAGGGTAGGAGATAAAAGCAGCTTAAAAATACGCAAAGGTACTTTAACTAGATCAGGGTTAGAGAATGCGAACAGCAGATTTACGATGGCACAGCCTGATACCACCCGCTGCGGGGCCTAATGAAAGGTCAAACATCATTTAACATGAATGCTGGGCTTTCATAGGAATACTCACCCAACTTTTGGCACATTTAAATGTGTACTGATAACTGCAGTAGAGTAGTTTCTCCATTCCCATATTACTTCTGCAAACTTCCATTTCAAACACAGATTTAGTTCCATGTAGGGGCATCCTGTGATGGTGAAGAACAGTCTTACCTCATGTATTTACTATACAGCAGCTTTATAATGTGGAACTTTACCCTGAATTTTAATGACCCTATTTGATACCCCAATTTGACAGCGATGAAAAATTATTATTAATGGATTAATGGCAAATTAATGGAAAAACAACATACAGTGTGTCTGTGTAAACAAAATTTTATGTATTTCTCGTAACTGTTGAATTATTTGACTTATCCAGTAATTAAATGCAGGTGCAGGTGTTAACCAGTTATGATTTCTGGAGCATGCACTGATACCAAGCTAATGGCACATTTCAAATCTGTCTTAAAAGAATCTGCTTTCTAAGGACAAGTCCATTTTGTGTGCTTTCTGCATGATGCTAACTGAGCTGCGTCTGAGGGGGGTTGAGCCAGGAACTCCTCTTCTTCTCTCTCTTTAAAAACAGCAGCGTACATGAATGAGCGAGGCTACACTGTGAGCAAGTTGGTAAGTGACCTGAACATCTGCAATCAATGACAAGTACTCAGAATCTCGTATCTATGGTCTTGCACTAAAACTGCCAGCATGTGAGGCCAACAGTGCTGGACACCAACTGATGAGACACCTTTTGGACAAACTTTTGTCTTTTACAGGCGCTTTGGGAATGAATACTGTAAGTAGTGGATTTGGTAAGTAATTCCTTCATTAACTTCTTAGACCTCTTAATGTGGCTTTCTTGCACAGTTTGTTATTGGTAAAGGTTAGCCGTAATTAAGTGATTCATTCATCCTACTGTTGTGGATTTTGTTTAATTTACCAAGTAACTCTGTTAAGCCAGTAATTTAGCAATGGGCCGAATTAAGTATCATGCCAGTTATATAGTCACTAAGTGTTTTATTCTTTTCATTCAGATGTGTATGTTGCCTACAGTAGCAAACATATTTCTACCTGCCGCTGCACCAGTTTAATTAATATATAAAATATTTATTAATTGCAATATCTATATGGGTTAAATACTTTATATAGAAATGATTTTTGTTCTGTAATAAGGCTCCTGGAGTGAGTCATAAAGAGGTATTTGTAGAGGCTGTTAAGAACAGATGTGTTTCTCATTAGTGGTTGAGGAGAGACAGTCTAATTATGTAATAACATGGAAACATCTAATCCGCTAGAGCTCAGTCCTCACAGGGGTCATGCCCAGACCAAGAGTTCACCCATTTGTCAAGGATGCTGACTCTCTGTTTCCATGGCAATAAGTCAACATACTGGAGTTACTGCCATACTAGGAAACAAAAACTCCTGTAGCACTAAAGCAAGGTTTGATGATGGTGAAGTGTTAAAATGAAGTGGAACCAAGTGTGAAGAGAAGCATGGGCATGGGACAAAGTGCCAACGAGTCTGTACCTTTAGCAATCCTGGAGTTGTATGTATCATTTCATCAGGGTCTGTATATAGTGGTACAGTAAAATGTAGCAAAAGTCATGTAGTTTAATGCAATTTATCAGAGGTTTCAACAACCTTCCAACCGGTCCAGTAACGTCTTACCACATACAGACATGCTGCATTTAGAAAATGTGTGCATGTACTGTATGTGTGCAATGATACATAGTAGGAACCAGGAGATCCACAGATATTTAACATATAAGAGTAAGTTTACTCCACAAAAAGGACAGAGGCACTGTTCCAGTCTCAAGCTTTGGGTTTACCTTCAGAACCACCATCAGGAGTAGTTTGGTTCTGGAAAAAACAGTAAATTAATATCAGGTGTGCCAGCTAAATCAAATCAATCTTTGGTGTGACCATCCTTTGCCTTTAAAACAGCACCAGTTCTCCTCGGTACACATGTACACATTTTTTAAGGTACTTGGCAGGTAGGTTGGTCCAAGCATCTTGGAGAACTTGCTACAGTTCCTCTGTGGATTTAGGCTGTCTCAGAGTCTTCTGTCTCTTCATTTAATCCCAGAGTGACTCAATGATATTGAGATCAGGGCTCTGTGGAGGCCAGATCATCTGTTGTAGAACTCCTTGTTCTTCTTGTGGCTGAAAATAGCTCTTAATGACTCTGTATGTTTGGGGTCATTGTCATGCTGCAGAATGAATTTGGGACCGGTCAGACCCCTCCCTGATGGGTGACAGATAAAAGTCTGAACATCAAAATTGCTGAATCTTTTGCAGAGTACTGTACTTAAACACACAGCAACCCCCAAAGCTCAAAACATCATGTAAACAAAGTAGTTGTTTGAACAACCCTCTGTCCTTCTTTGAAGTAACCTTATCCTTATATGCATGATAGTGTCACTGCAGTTTTTTCATAGTTCAATATTGCTATAACAATAATGTTCTGTCGCTCCTTATTGAGGTGAGGAACAGCTGCAGGATCCTACTGTCCTGTTCAAATGGATAAAATCGGTCCATAAAATACATCATACCCTGATATGATGCTGCCAGTGCATTTAGTGCAAATGTTCATATAAGTACATGACAGGAGGGCGAATAACTTGATGACCGAAACATGGTCAGACAATATCAAACCTGAGAGACACATAGCCTATATGTAGTTTTATTCTACAAACTTTATCTATTGTATTCCTCTCAGTCTATGAAAAGAACATGGAGAGACATGATCATTTTAACTGGTCTAATTTATAGTAAAATGCAGATGTGAATATTCAGGTGTGAAATAATGTAAATACTCCTGTTTTTGCATTAATATCAACTGTTTCCACTTGCAGCGGGGACTAAGAATGACAGTATCAGTCAGTGAGTTTTCTATGCTTTGGTCCAGACTGGCTACATCTGCATTAGCCTACACTCCACTGCTGCCATCAAGCCAAAATGTTTTTTGTGCACAAGAAATATCAAAAAGCTGAAGAGTAAAAGTGACATTGGACAGTCCATGAGCTCTTCTTTAGTGCCATATTTAGGCCAAAATGTCAACTCATAATACAGGCAGACTGACATAGATATTGCTGACTAAATTACATTACTATAATTTCGTCTGGTGTCATATTTTTAAGAATCTAATAATAGCAAAATCATCTGTTTCTTCTGTCCCACAGTTTTGTTTTGTGAGATGTATCTGCAGTGCAACCAGAACAGGCTTCTTTCATGACTTTAGACTTTAAGTGCTGTCGATTGAATTCTATGAGTTTATGATTTAAATCTAAATTTAAGCATATGTCACTACGAGCTGCCTTTAGCAAATGTAATTTGACTAAAGACATTCAGAGAAAATGTATAAGACCATGTTGAAGGGCACAGTTCCATGAACTGAAATTGGGTTCTTCATGGTGACGAATTGTTAACATGGATTATTCCCCAACAAATTACATCAAATTGATATATCTCAAAGAGATTAAGATTAAAAGAAGTGACCGACTCAATAGCATACTCATTGAGATAAATTGTTTGTGTTGGAGAGGTAGTCTATGTATTTTGGAGTGCTGAATAAACTGTTCCAGATAAAATTACACAATGTAAAGTTTTTTTTAACATGGTGAACAACCAGAGGCTAGATTTATTGAAATGTACTACTGTTGTGTTGCTGTGTTATGGCACCACCTTCTGGTGGATGTTAGGAAGTGTTGCGTTTGAAAGTAAAAGGCTTGTGTTTGCTCTATAACCTATAACCTGTGTGGGATTCCCTGCTATTTTCCAAACTGTAGAAGACCGCTGAACTCTTTCTGTACCCTGTTTATATAGACAGACAGATAGACAGATAGACAGATAGACAGATAGACAGATAGACAGATAGATAGATAGATAGATAGATAGATAGATAGATAGATAGATAGATAGATAGATAGATAGATAGATAGATAGATAGATAGATAGATAGATAGATATAGATTAACGTTGTGTGGGCACTAATATGAACAATTTCAACAGGCTGTCAATTTTGAATTTCAGTTTCATATTAGGTTATGAAGGCCATGTTTTCTTTCTCTCATTTAATAAACTGAAAAGGGCGTGCTGAATTTAATACCAGCTTTGTCCAAAATTCTTGATTTAATGAAAAAATGTAGACGCTTGTTTTTCACCGAATGATTAAATTGATAGAAGCATTTTCTATCAGATTTGATAGAATAACTGATTTCTCAAGTGAATAATTTGGTAGATGTTTTGATAGATTAACTGTTGATATAACTTAACTTCAGTAGCAAAACACTGGCTTAAAGTGAGGTTGAAGGTGGCCTAGTATTTCTAATATGTATAAAATAAATAATCTCTCAGATTTAGTTCTTAAATGGAAATGCTGACATCCATTGCTCTGCTGATATTTTCTGTAATGATAGATGTAGAACAGTGAAGGGAAAGAAACCTTGCTGTATAAACAGGACTTTGGAAAACAGCCACCCAATTGTTTTGCTTATACTCTTGGATGTGAATGCTGCTTCCCCCTTGATATTACATACCATTCCATTTAGAGCGATGGCAGCGCTGCCAAAGCAAAGCTGCACTTCCTATTGGGGATAGGAATAATCAAGAGAATTACATAGTAGTTAGAAATGATACAAAGTGCACTAATGCTGAAATCTCTTGATCTAACCAGTAAATACTTATTTTCAGGGGTATTTTATTTTTTTTATTGATAACATGTCACATTGAAAGTCTGCTAAAATGTCTGATTAGTTTGTAATCCACCCTTCAAGTGAAAGGCTCCCTGGCCTGAAGTTGTTTTATCTTTGTTTTAATGAAGGTATCATTGGTGACACCCAGGACATTTTGAAACAGCATTAAAAAATGGAACCAGAGGCGGAAGACCCAGACAACAATGATAACTTGGTCCCTTGGTCAGGTTCAGATGGTTCCCAGGAACTCTGTGTCTCTGAGTCCCTGGCAGAGTCCTACAATGAGGATGATATCAGTGATGAGTTCCCTTTAGACCCACAGCCTCCTCATATTCCCAAGTCTGAGTCCCCAGAACGCCTTCAGTCACAAGACTGGGAATCTGCAGGTGAGCAACAGTCCCTGCCTGAACTAAGTGGAAGTGAAGAGGATGTTTCATACCAAGAGGAGGATGACATCTACCTTAGTGAATCAAGAGAGTCCATTTCAGAGTCACCTCACATCCAAACCTCACCCGTCTCACTCTCCCCACACCCAGAGCGCCCTGACTCCAGGCCTCCCGCTGGCCAGATATCACGACTGCATTCCCTGTCATCTTCTTCCTCTCTTGGCTGTGCCGCTGACATGACCCTGGCCTTGACCCTGACCACAGAAGAGCCACTGGGAGCCAGTAATAGGCAGGACTCAGGGACTGGGAACAGGAGGGTTGAATCTTCAGAGGAAGGAGGGAGTGGTGAAGCACCTCCTGCTTCTGTCTTCTTTGAAATTCCAGACGAGGGTGCTGAGCAGGCAGAGAAGTGGAACTCGGAGTCTGACACAGATCTGTGCAGACCTGACCGGCACAGGGCAAGGCACACACGTAAGTGTCTATCTTCTACCCTCCTTTTATATATTTCAGTGCACATATGTAGTTAGGAGTTAGTAGTGCAAGCTGTGTAACCTATCTTGATTTTTTCCCCCTAAATTTAAATTATATATGATTTATTAATAGATACAATTTTGTATGTGGTTTAAATGCAGCCTGAGGCACAAATTAACTTTACATCATGATAATCATAATATTATCATAAAATAATATTTTCTGCCTGCATTCATTAGAAGTGTTATGTGAAACAAAATACTTAATTTAATCGATAAATAACTTGTGCAAAGCATTATGGGTGCTGGTTATTTTCATGCTGGGGTCTATTTGAGGTGGACTTACAGGGAGAATTCCCATGGCTTTAATAGTCAGAGCAAGATAAGAATAAAATATGACCATATGATGAGACTAGCAGAAACAAATTTGACAGACACTAGCATGTGTCACCCTGGCCTGTCACCCGATCCCTTTTCCAATCGTAAGACTGGACTGCAATGGAAAGTGAGCTCCTCACTTTCCTTGCCTCATGGAGACCCCCCCCCCCCAAGTTAGCTGTAAGTAAATATGATGCTTTTATTAGTGTGCTTGCTTCAGCAGGGGTAACTTTAAAATTTGTCTCATTTAACATTAGTGTGCTTGCTTCAAAGAATAATAATAATAATAATGCTCAGCCAACATGTAACGTATGTATTGATGCATTCTGCAAACTGAGAACAAATGATACCAAAGCACTGTATGAAACAATCCCAAACTGCTTATTTCTCCCATAATTGTTTTACTTTACTGAGCACTGATCATTTAAATACTGTAGCTTCTTAACTTTCCTCTCACTGACAAAACATCAAAATAAAATAATGTGGGCTCACTGTTTATTTTAAGATTCGCACGTTTTCATCTTCCTCATGCCCCTCCCTTCTCCCTTCTCTCTCTCTCTTTCTCTCTGTCTTTTCCTGTGTCTCAGGGCTCAGCCACAACGAGAGCCAATCAGAAAAGAATGTCAAGGAGACCAAGTCTAAATGTAAACGAATTGCTCGGCTCCTAACTGATGCACCCAATCCTCAAAATAAGGGAGCCTTGCTGTTTAAAAAACGGCGCCAGAGGGTGAAGAAGTATACACTTGTGAGTTACGGGACTGGTGATAAGCTTGACAGCGAAGACCAAATAGAGGAGGAAACTGAAGAAGTCAGATCAGCTGGGTATAACTTTGTGGCAACAAGTGATTCTGAGTTAGAGGAAGAGTATTCTGTTTATCACCAGCAGCATAATTTAAGTCTGAATTGGGGAAGTGTTCGAGAAATGGAAGCACTACCAGAGACAAAAGGGAAGGGAGTTTTGATGTTTGCCCAACGCCGCAAACGGATGGATGAAATTGTGTCAGAGCAAGAAGAACTGAGGAGTAAAGGATTACCTGCGGAGGAATTAACAGAACCTGAATGTACAGAAGCACCAAATATTTATGACACTAAGCAAATGTACATGCATGCTGATCAGGCCAACTACATGGATGCGAGTCACAGGCAGCATGTAGATTACCAAGAAAATATTCAACAGATGAACCACCTAGCTGATGTGCCAAAACCATTGGTGCCAAACAGAACTGCGAAGCCCTTCCTAGGATTTCAAGATGGCACGACTGCTCATGTCATGCCTGGTGGCGTTGTTCCAGTGACAAAGAGGAACGAACCGAGATTCATAGTACCTGTGCCTATTAACACGAACCCACAGGTCTGGTCCCCAACTGGAGACATCATAGCCTCAAGAGATGAGCGAATATCTGTGCCAGCGATCAAGACCGGCATCCTACCAGAGTCAAAAAGAAAAGCTCCTATTAAACAGCTGGCGCAAGAATCAAATCCTCACCTTCAAAGCAAAGGGGACAGGAGATCTTATATTGAGTCAGAAGAAGACTGTTTTAGTCTTGGTGCAGAAGCTTGTAACTTTATGCAACCAAGAACAATAAAACTCAAGAATCCACCTCCAGTTGCCCCAAAACCTACCATCAATCCATCCTGCCCACCTTGGATGGGGAGGAGTCCCTCTGGTGAACCATATATTCCACCAAGAAGTCCGGTTTCACAACCTTCTCACAGTTCCGCAGGGCCTCATAGTCAGCATTACTTACAACAGCAAGATTGGGCTCAGCCTCAGCAGATGGCCAACCAGTGGGCACCAGATCAAACCCGAGCACCACTTCAAACACCTGTCAATGCCTGGGCTCCGGTCAACTCCTCTTCTCAGCTTCATCTTCAGCCAACCACAAATAGCTGGAATCAACAGCCGCCACGATCCCCTGTGAGTATGCAGGCCCACAGTCCTACTTACAGCCCACATCACCCACCTTCACCCTCAAGGAATAAGTCAGGCAGTGTTCCCAACTCAGTCGCCTCTTGCCCACCACAAGCAGGGAAGTCATACATCCACGCATCAAAAGCATCGCAGGCTTCTCCAAAGGGTCGAGTCTCAGACAGAGGTATTAATCGGGCTGGTGATGGTTCAACTATGGCGGGAAGAGGTGCGGAGTTGTTTGCCAAGAGACAGTCCCGTATGGAGAAGTTTGTTATCGATGCTGAATCAGTGCAAGCTAACAAAACCAGATCTCCCTCCCCAACTGCGTCCCTCCCTAACTACTGGAGGTATTCTTCCATTGTTCGTGCCCCCCCGCCTTTATCATACAATCCCCTTCTTGCTCCTTTCTACCCTCCATCAGCAGCCAAGCAGCCCCCTTCGACAAGCCCCAAAATCAAGCCCAAGACCAAAGAAAAACCTAAAGCACCCCCAAAGCACCTAAATGCCTTAGATATTATGAAACATCAGCCTTATCAGTTGGACTCGTCACTGTTCAAGTATGATGCAGTCCCTGAGGCCAAAAGCCCCAGCCCCAAACCAACTCCAGTGTCAAAGTTTGAGGTTACTAAAAACCTTAAACAGAGATCTGCCTCCTCTCATTCTCCTTACAATGCCTCTGAGCTTGCTGTTCAGGGCAAGGCAGAAGCCCCTGCTAAGTCTCCTGGAATGGTAAGTTCCCAAAATTCTTCTGCCCACGAAAACACAAGATCAGCTGAGCCTCTTGCAACTGACAAGCACTTGGATGACAAGCACACTGTCACACCTGCAGCCCATCACATAACCAAAAAGCAAGCACCAAGCGCCCGACCCACAAGCACATCCTCCCAGCAGTCATCTACTGCTGACAGCATAGCTTCAGCTTTTTCTCCTGCATCTCTTATTGCTAGAGGCGCACGTCAAATGGCTCCTCGGCCAAAATTCTCTGCAAAGAAGCCAGCAGTGACAGGCAAACAGTGGAAGCCTGTTGCTATGCTTCATTTGTCCTAATACTGTATATGGTCAGGCTTTGGTGTAGTCAACACTGAGACGATAGGACGCAGTTACGTCTGTAACTTGCTAGCATCTAAAATGTCTTACTTAACCGGAAATGTATAGACCTTTGCACTGTCTAAACGTAGGCCAATGTACGGGAAACAGGAAAAGACAGTTGAATGTACAGCGAAACTAGTTTAAAAATTGTGATTAAACAATGGAATACAAACTAAAACATAAATCAATAACTTAGCACATCACATCATCTTCCTAAAACTTGGGAGGTGCGTGTGTGTTTTAAAAGGAAATATGAGACTAAATCATGTTGAGTGATTCTCAGGAGGTGCTTTTACATGTGCAATAATGTGAGTAGAGAGCCTTGTTCAACTAAGGTCTCTAGTTTGAGTTGCTCATCTTTCTTTAGTTCTTTTTTTTTCTTTTGTAAGAAATAAGATTACATGCATTTTTATGTAACTGTAATCACCACTAATCCCAAAACTACATTTATTTATCCAAAATAGTCATAATAATTCTTAATAATTCTGTCATTTGGGATAAGAGTAACTCAAGTTTACAATTATATTTGCGTAATATTTTGAATTATTTATTTGTTGTTTGGGGAGAAACTGTCTATGCACTTCTTTTTTTGGATGAAATTCCTTCAGTCTCATTCCAAACTTTGATGGTATCACAACAGCTAAAAAGCATCAATGTTAGTTGTGATCATTAACCCTGATGACTTAAAATGCTTTTTATGTGGATGTATTTTCTGCAATCATCAGATAAGACCAGTTATTTAATGTCATCAGACATTCTGTGTCCTCATCCTTGATGTAAAACATGAGCAGAATATCACAGGGATTTGAGTTGAATGTTATTGACTCACATTATTAATAGCGACTCAAAACGAAAATACAAAACAACTGTCTTGTTTGTCTCTGTTTTTCTGACATATCACTCTTTATTGCACTTCTTGTCATCAGCACAATCATGCCATTAAATTTCTCTTTCCTCCTACCTGAGTACTTCCTGTGTGTCATGAGCTTCTATTCTCTCTTGCTGAGCTGCTGTATCACTACTTTTTCTGAGTCACCCATGTTTCCTCCTGTATATTTCTCACTGCCTCACACTTTCACACAGAAGTTATTCATATTTACTGCACCTTCAGCAATATCCATTCTCTAAGCTCCACTACATCATTGATTATTTTCAATAAATTATTGCTTGTATTAATATAAAATGGTGAACTGCTGAAGGTTGACACTGTCACTGTATAACTTTATCTTTTCAGTTTGGACAGATGGACATGCTGTGAAAACAAACATACTCTTGTGTGATTGTTTTCATAGCATTTCCATCAGTCCACCTTCAGCCCTTAATGTAAAAAGTTTGGAACTATGATCTTGGCCTCCAAAATAAGAAATCCACAGTAAAGCAGAGTTTACATTTTGCTACTCTAATGATCTGTTGACGAGTCAGTTAACAGTATGTTACTTGTATTTTTTCTGTCAATTACGTCTAAGGACAGACCAGATTCCCCTTAAGTTTTGAGTACACACAACTATTCACAACAAGCACAACAAACCATGGCACTGTGTGACAAATATTTTAGTATGGCAAGATTTGTGTTGCAGGAAGTTTCTCTGCTTGCTTAAGAAATACAAACAACACCGAATTTAGTAAAGACTCACACAGAACAAAATAATGGAGAAGAATCTGTCAAACATGACAATAATAGCTCTGACTACTGAGTAATAACAGAAATTAAGTATGGAAATACTTGCTCAATCTGACAAAATGTACTCTTTTACGGTGGATATCCCTTTAAGAAGAGAAAACAAAGACAAGTTGACCGAGAAATAGTTCCAAGCAAAGTTTCATAATCTTTTAAATGTCTTTTATGTAGTAACATTGCTACTGTACTGTATTTTAAGTTTCTTGGACCAACAACAGGTAAGTCAAGAAATATTTTTTTCATTTTCAATATATGTTAATGTTAAATGATGCTACAAGACCTTCACACATGAGATCTTTCCCATACATTTATATCAGCCAAACATTTTTATGGGATTTATGGGAAAACTCAATCCTCTGATTGGCCTTTGTTATTGTAGACAAAGAATTGTGAGGGTCGTGCTTTGAAATCACTCTGGCCCAAAGAGAAAAAGATGTGTGACAAAATGTGAACATTTCACTCAAAGGATTCAACAAACAGAAATGACCAATCAGAAAAAGGTGAAACTTTCAATTTGTGCCACATTTTTTTCCACAATGCGTCACTTTGCTTCCTCTACTTTCTTTGCCAGTGAACAGGCAACTTTTCAATGAAATTGGAAAGTTTTTTTTTTATAGTAAAATAATTATGAATATGTTTACATTCCTCTGTTAACTAAAACTTTTCATATAACTTCAAGTAAAACATGAACAAGATAGTTATTAGTTGTCCCGGCTTCTGTGGAGCCAGCGGGTGGCAGCAAAGTCTGCAACACTGCTGTCCCAGCAGTCAGCTGATCCGTGTGTTTTCTTTCAGGGATTTGGTCGAAGCCGCTCCCTGAGTCTGCCAAAGCGGCTGAATTCGATGCCTTCAACCGGACTTCTGTCACCTATGAGCACCCCTGGAACCCAGGCATCCTTTTTACCAGCACAGAGGCAAACATCCATTCAAGAGAACATCTACAAGCCACTGTCACCATGGGAGGCGGCATCTAGAAGCCCCATTGGTTCAGTGGATGACGCGTTTGTGTTTCAGAGCCTCCCGTCATCTGTTGCCTCTAATGTCAAAGCTGCAGGGCAACGCAGATCTCTGCCGGAGCCACCAGACGAATGGAAGCGCAGGGTGTCTCTTGATCCTGCAGCTCTCAGTAAGAGTCGTTATCATGCAGCCCCTGCTTTCCAGGCACCATCTCTGAGCAGGACATTTTCACCTGAGAAACCAGCCTTCTACGGGCCTCCTTTCAGACCTGCACAGCCCCTTAGGCCTGGCAGTAGATCCAGTATTGGATACATGGGACAAGGCCCCAGTCCAACAAAGTGCCCTCCCCTCTATTCTGCAGTCCAGAGGAGTTAAGATGAAGTCAGATGTGCATCAGAGAAAGAGAAACATACATATATATTATCATAAATAAACAAATAAATAAATTAAGAAACATAACATAAAAAAACAATTGAATAAATTTGGCCCAGAAAGATGGAATATGTTTGATCCACGGTGATGAAATAATAGGTTGTTGTTGGCATGTGTTGGTTAAAACTTAACCAATAGATCTGAGTGTTGGGATTATTTTAGACCATTTATTATGTTTGTTTTATATATTTGATGGGAGTGATGGGTCTCAGCAGCTATCCTCGTTGTTTGAGTGATCACTTGGTTTAAAGAGCACAACAACTTACTGTAGCTTCTGTGCTGTGTTGCTGATGGGATATTACCCTGCTGAGCATTGATGGGAGATTTTGCAGTTGTGCAGCGATCATTCAGAATAATTTAGGACAGAAGTGGATGATGTTTTAAGACAAACTGTCATCAGGATAAGATTAAGAATGTGTTATGCAAGTTAAAGTGAACGTGTAGTAGTTGAAAGAAATTTGGTTTGGCTGCTTTTTTATTTTTTAATTGGAGTGGTGTTTACTCACTGAAGATGTTGGTAATAGTGGTTATAAATATTTTATGAGAAATAAGGCGCTTTAAGAAACCTTGTGTGGCTTTTTCATTCATTTATCTTTAGTTTAAAACTCACTGGGCCTTTGTGATCACTTTTTCATGTTGATGTTGATGTGCAAACTATTTCACATCTGAATATTTAATTCAGTGATAATCATTACAGATGTTACTCATCTTCTTTTAATGACTCTTATCTGCATTACTATTGCAGTAGCAAATATACAAAAGGAAGAACATTTTAATTCATCTGTAGCCCTTTCTAGCGACTGCCTATTGCCAACATGCCATTTTTATATGCTCTTAGGAAGCTAGAGTGACAGGAAACAGGAAAGCAGCAAAGTTGCAATAAGTGTTGCGTCCTAAAATTGATACTTGTTCAAACTGAAAAACTACGTGTGAGATTTCAAAATGGATAAAAGCTTTTTTGCTATTATTATCAATATATTTTAAGTTTAAGAAGAATAAGTGTTGCATGCATACATTCATAAAGTATCCCACCTTTAGTCATACACTGTGTGGTTTTATAGTGTAAACAGAACCACAGATTCTGTCTTCGAGTGTCAGGGTTGTAAGATTTTTGAAATTTCTAATGTAGAATTTTTTAGAATTTAAAAATTTTGAATTGGGGTTTTGCCCAGCTGTGTTTGATGATTTTCTTGAATAAAATGTTTCTTTTTTTTTTTTTGCATCTTTTAAACACAAGCTGAAAAATTAAAAGACACAAAAATGCTTTATGACGTCTTTAAAGTGTTATTTTTTGGCTTTAATTCTCTGATATAATTCTAAGAGTCAGCATCATTTTAGTGCAGATGAAAATGCTTTTGATCCATTCTCTGATCATTTGTAACATTTCTTTGTTTATTTGGTATGTCAGTGTTACGTAACAATAACACATACAGTTTATACTGATTTGACAGTATGTACATATTAAAATAAGAGTACGACAGGAACTTATCTCATGTTTCAACAGAATGTACAGGATGTCTGAGGTAGGACAACATGTTCGGCTGGCAGGAAAATGACCCTGATGTTGTCTCATAAAAATCTTTTTGGCTGAGCGCTATCTCAGGGATGAGACCACACTGCCCTTTAACCTTCTTCAGTGATCTGTATTTCATTATCCAAAGTCAGTAATTACACATAATGATGGTAACACAACTCAGTTTGGGGAGAGGAGTGCAGCTGTGCTGAGTACCGACGACCTCCCTAACTGGAAAGCGCGGCGCCTCAGAGGTTACATCAACCCACAGAGAAGCGTTGACTTTGAGGATTCAATCCAAGGAAAGGAGAATGTCTCCGGAGGGAAGTCCTTGCCCCAAAGAACCTCAGTGGGTATGTGTGTGTTGACCATCCTCCCCTCTCCTCCCCTCTCCTCCCCTCTCCCTCTGGTAGCTATCCTTGCCCCATGGTGTTTGAGAGTGGTTTTGAGTGTTTGGCAGGTTAAATTTAGCCTATTGATGTAAGCTGCATTCCATTCACAACAGACACAGAGACACACTCACAGTCTGGCTTTAGTGTCCAGGAGTGTGAAGATCAGGGAAGATCAAACTACCTACTGTAGGTTGACCCCTGAGTCTCCGTGTCTCCCCTTCAAGGATACAGGTTGCACAGTAGGGACACCATCACAGGTATGGCCTCATCAAGGTGTATTTTGTGAATATGTGGTGGATTTAAATTAAATTGAGGTATACGTTAGATCATTCAAGAATGTCACTGTCTTGTGATAAAAGAAATTTGGCTGGATCTAACTAACATTTATATTTTCTAGAATTTATAGGAATCACTTTCTTATGACCTTATGGATTTTGTGACATTTGAGAGATTATCAGTTAATTGTACATATTTTCTCTCTTTAGAATTGACTGACTGACTGACTGACTGACTGACTGACTGACTGACTGACTGACTAACTGACTTTGCAGGGTGTCTATTTTGCATGGAAATAGTTTTAAAATTCTCACAAATATCACAGCTGCAAAGTCAGCAGACAGGCACAGCTGAGCTATTGAACATTTAAAATTTAAAGACGTATATTTATAATTTTACTGTCTGGTATCATGTTTTGAATTTGAGAAGAAAGGGAACACTGAATATATACAACCACTAAAAATTTTAAAAAGTAATTTTGGATGTTGTGTGCCTCTTTTTTCTGTCTTTTTTTGTATTGTTGGACATTTGCTGTGTGCACCTACACATATAAACATAGGACACAATATTCACCCTTGACCTTTACACAGGTAATTTATCTTGCAACAACGTTAACAGGAGATGCCACTAACGTTAGCTCACGTACTCAAACCTTTGGTGCAGTGACGAGGCCAGATTTAAGAATTACGTGTGTGGTACCAATGCAAGTACAATGGGGCTTTTGGATTATGCAATACCCTGTAATCTGTTAAATGTAACCTCTACAGAGATTATTATAACAAACCAAACGCTGATATAGCAGATTTATTTACTCGGGCACCTTACAAATCATATTCAAATCCCAATATATGTGGACAGCAAATGGAAGACAGACATTATAGACTTAAACAAACTATGTATAGTACCAATGTGTTATGTAACAGAGAAGAATAGAGCATTAAATATGTCTGATCAAGAGGAGTTAGGTTTTTTTCTCTGACATCTGATAAACAATGACCTTACACTTGCACTCACCAAACATCACTCTGTTTAGCTAAATCTAACACTGCACTGATGTTCTGTGGGATCAGATTATTAGGAGTTAAACTCCTTCATTATTACTTGGGCAGAACAACTACATCCTGTGTCCTGTATGTGTTTCCAGTCCTCCTGAGTTCTGCCAACCTTGCCAAAGCTTCAATGTCACAATTCTGTACAATGCCAGCTGGAGAGAGGAAGAAGTGTGCAGCAGCTATTTGCCGAGAGGTCCATGGTACCAATGGTATGATGTTAGAGCTGAGGCTCAGCGGACAAACACACTGCTGCCAGAGAATATCCATTCTGATCTGGGTTCAAAATGTCAGGGCTACTCTCCAGCACTTGCCATAAATAAGCGAATGGGGTGATGTACTACCTATGGTGACTAATCCTTTGTCGTTGTCCTTTTCAAAAGTCTATTTCTGGGTGGGTGGGAGAGGGGAGGGACGTTTTGCAGGCCAACTGTGTAGCTGTTTGGATAATGTGAAGGTTGGTGACAGCTGGGGTACATTCCGTCACTATTGGTGGATGAGGGAGCGTCGTGTACATCCAAAACTGATTCTCGACTATAATGATAACGCATTTTCCATGACAGGACTTATAATACGGAAAATTCGGTGACACCTTTGACGTCTTTTTTTTCGACCCTCCCTTAAACCCCTTCTGATGACAGAATTATGTCAGGGGATATGTCTGTGTGTATATTTATATTGTCTATTCTGTACTTTCCAGCTCTAAAACCAGGGCTGGATTAACCCTCCAGGGGGCTTAGGGGCATAAAGTAACTGTCAGCCACTATTCCTCCACTCCCTTTCTAAATTTGTTTATGATCATTTGATTATATACTCATTTATTTGAGAGAAGATACCATACAGTTTAAGTGTAATATCAACTGATGCAAAAACCTTTCTACGAGATGGCCTAAGAATTAGATAAAAAATGCCACCTCAAGGTGCACACTGTTTCCATTTATACTGTGCTTTTGTAACGAGTACTGTCAAATAGATGTACAATTAATCAGATTACCATGATTGCCACACTGTAACTCTGGGGCTTTTGGGACCCCTCAAGCTATTATGTTATGTTATTTAACCCAATAACATTAAAGAGAACGGAAAAATTAGTCTTTTGCTTTGTTATCCTTTTTACAAAATTTACCTTAACTCAATCATATATGCTAGCACACGTTAGAAATTTTGAAAATGTTAGCTCAACACTATATAAAATGCAACAACCAGTATGCTGTTGTTGCTGATTGTGATCCTCAACATATTTCTTTCTGTTCTCATCTTTGTCTGACAGGGGACGTCATGGATCTCGGAAAGAAGCTCTGCACTCCTAAAGACATTATGTTGGAGGAGTTATCGTTGCTTTCCAACAGAGGTTCTCGCCTTTTTAAAATGCGCCAGAGGAGATCTGACAAATACACATTTGAAAGTATCCAAAATGAGGCAAACGCGCAGCTAAATGTAAGTCAGCTTGTGTGTGTTATTCAGTCATTTTCATGTGTTTGAATGACTGAATATATAATATCTAAATTGTCTGTGTATTACTCATTCAGCAAATTTATCAGTAAATATGCTCTTGAAAAAAAAAGTGTTACAACACATGGATGATAACAGAGACATGTGCCGCGTGCCTTCTGCATCCTCCTGCCAAATCTTCTGAGAGGCTGCTCAGGCACTTTGCTGTGGAGCTGCTCCCTCTTTATCATTGCCTGCTGATATGTGTGTGCGTGTGTGTTTTAGTGTGTGTGCACGTGTATCTCAGCACATGATGGACAAGTGCATTCATACATGAGCCAACTTTGATTGTTTAGTTGCGCAACTGATATTTTAACTGAAGCTGAACATGTGTGCTGTTCTTTATTCTGTTTTGCAGAATGATATTTTAGCTGAGGGTACACACACTGTGGAAATTAAAGTTGATGCACCCACCCATGGAAATACTGCTAATGCAGAAACCTCTGTTTCAGGTAATGATGCTGCTGAGTAGATACAGCTGTTTGTGTCAATATGGAACAATTCAAACATAGTTAAACATTTTAAAGTATTAGAAAATCTATCATAAGCATAAGTAGGAAAATGTGATGTGTAAATGTTTGATTATTGAAAATCATTAGTACTAGCAAACTATACCAATTTTCCACCGTCAAAGTGTTATTCACAGTCAAAAGAGATTGTGTAAGGCTGTCGTAATAATGAAAACCTATATCATACAGTTATGACAGCTGGTCCTATCACATGGCAGCTAATGTGAGTAGCATGACACCATGTATGTAACTATGATTGAAAACACAACCTGAGGTGCTTTAAATGCTTTATTTTATTTTGGTATATTTGAAAAACCAGCAGAGCCCTGTGCTTATTCTAAAAAGCTTCCATAGTGTGTCATCCCATATCGACACATTATACGATGAGTGCACACTTCAACTATGTGGTATTTTAAGGCCTCGCATCGTAATGATGGACAACTCAGTCTGCCTGTGTTAAGTGTTCTCTAAGCACAGTCTCTGCTCATAATCCTATCCACTCTAAAATCCTTAGCCTCCCAAAAAAAACAGGCTAAAGAAAACAGCTCCGTGTTAACTGCACATCAAGCTGTCAGATGACTCTGCTGCGATTTTAGAACAACATGATCTCACGCTGACTTTTCTCTTCCACTGTACCTGTTCGTTTTTGTTCTCTCCTTCACAGATGCGACTGCAGAGAAGTTAAACACCACAGCTATGCCCAAGTCCTATCACTCTCCATGGGAGGAGGCAATCCTCGGTGACCCCGACCTCGCTGAAACTCTCAAACTAAGAATGCCTGAACTAGACTCACGACCAGACCTTCCTGAATACAAATGCTTTAACCGGTGAGAAAACTGTGAGCACATTTCAGCGAATGAGTGCAGAGTATGAGAAAGAGTAGAATTCACACCTTGATCTAAATTACAGGGTTGCCACTCCTTATGGCGGCTTTGAGAAAACTCCCAGAGGAATCACGTTCAAACTCCCGGAGGTGGACCTGAACCCGCCGAGTTACCCAGAGCTCCAGGAGCCGGGGATTAAGAGGCCCACCTTCAACAGAACAGCCCAGGGATGGATATCTGAGGGCACCCATCTGATCCTACCCACTTTTACCGTGGAGCCTGCCAACGTGCCGGAGTCTGATGACCTGTAGGTGGTTTTATGTAATCTGGCAACATGATGTTGGCTGTAATATTGTGGCCTCAGCCTGCGATGACAACAAAACAGTCAATTAGTAGCACAGTTGCGAATCCTTAACAGTATTTTGGATTGTTCCCATGCAATGGACACGAAATGTTTCATTCTTTTGTTCTTCAGTTGACTAGTATGTTTGCTGTCGCTAGAAAAACTGTTTCCAAAGAAAGTCATGTAAATAGCCAAAAGAATGTGCTATACAGAATTCACAAAATCCAGAGTTTCCACTGATACTGAAAACAAAACTGTAAATTTTTATAAATTTTCAAATGAAAAGAGAAGTATGTAATGTAAATAAAGAATGCAACTTATTTATTGATGGCACAAAATCAAAACTGGATCATGCAGTAGGTTATATAGTTTGTAGTATTTTTATTATAGATAGTACAAAAAATATACACATTAATATATAAGTGAAACTGAAAATTTCACGTGAGGTATATTTATAGCTCTATAGATATAATAAAGATTGAATAAGCTCTAGTCAAAATTTCATAGTACAAATAACTTAAACTGAATTTTTCACTCATAAATTTGTAGACATGAGATAAAAGTGGAAGCTCTGTTTCATGTTAAGGTCCCATATCCTCGGAAGAGGATTCAGAGTATTTAAGCAGAAGAAAAAGGGGATTTCACAGTGCAACCGAGATTAATTTATCTTGAGAAAATCACAGAGAGATCACCAATCTGGGAGGAAGACCGAGGAACCTGGACTTTGACCTGTGATGGCATGGAGCCGTGCTAAAGCACTTCTAATTAGAATCACTGCATCTCATGGACTCAAAACCTTTGAATTTGTATGTATACAAGAAACAACCACTCCCTGCTGAGAATCATGTAACATGGAAACTGTCACACCTGCCTTGTTTGGAGTGCGATGACAGTAAAGAGGAATTATAGATGTTTGTTCTGTCTTGTTTCTGGTCATGTGGATGGAGTAAAAATAAGATTTTATTTTGCAGTAAAACAACCTACAGCAGCAACTCTGTGTGTTAGTGCAAAATACACTGGTTGTCTGTGAGTGACATTTAGTGTTGAGTTCACTGTTTCTTGAAAATCAAGCAGAAAACATTTGAGCAGCATGATTTTACTTTTACTTCTTATACAGTTAAAGTGTTTAATGTCTCACAGTCCTACATACATACATACTGAATGTGACTTCATGTGCCCACTGGACGAGGGAACCATTCACAAAGACAGCTGGGAAACAGAGAGCAGCTATAGAGGAGATCTGACAGGATTGAATTCAAGGCCAGTGGGAAATGCATGTCTATCATTTGTCCAAAACCTCAGTACTCCAAAGAATTTGCATACCATTCTCACAGAACGGTCACCACATAACGATATATGAACAATTTTACTTTTTCAGCTGTTTCAGACTGTCACAGTAATAAATGTTAATTTGTATTATTTCCAATTAATGTAGAAAGTAGCATTAGTAGACAGAAGACATCATTTGGAGTTTTTCTTACCCACACTCCAAAAGATGAGCTGTTTTATGTATTGAGATATAACTGTGGGAAGGTCTAGGGGTTTGACAGTAATAGTATCTGATACTGACCTCAATTCAAAGGGTATACTGGAAGTTGAGGCCAGTCTTTGTGTGACAAAAGTCTAACAACTAGAACAAAAAAACTAACTGAACAAAAACTACCATGCAAACTCTGACTCCTCACCACTGATTATGGTGGTAATTGAAACTACATCCTGGATACTAGAAAAGATCAGAAACAGATACAAACAACAAACTCCAAAAATAACCTTAAGAACAGTTGAGTCTTTTTATAAATAATACCAAGAACTCTTCATGTACCCCGAGGGAGATTTCACTGCTATTGCTAGAGCCAAGCCAGGATTAGAGAGATGCCAAATACAGTTATACTGTATGTATTCAGTATACATATATATATATATAAATGAACAGAATAATTTCCCTGAGCTCAAGGTGATGTCTTCAAATAGCAAATAGCTTTTTGTATTTGATGCAAAACCCAAAGATATTCCGCTTACTACAACACAGGACGGGAAAAGTGGCAAATGTTCACACTGGAGAAGCTGGAACCATTACAAGTGTGCTTAAAAATTGACATGAACAGTTATTTGATTATCAAAATACATGCCATGTATTTTTCTTTCAATCAACTAATTGATCAATCAACTAATGGTTTCAACTCCATGTTACAGTGCATCACTGAATTGTTTTCTCCATGACTGTAATAGAAGAAGTGCCTGTTGAGTATCACTGAAACAGATTTCCTTTTGGACTCAGAATCAGTGAGAACCTCTCCGTGTAACAACACATGAAGAGCGTTTTCCACTGTTTTTCACAGGCTAACCCACAGGCTGTGGAGACACACACACACACACACACACACACACACACACACACACACACACACACACACACACACACACACACACATATACTGTAAATAATCTACTGGGATCCCCTGTGCACACTATATTTACAGGAAGTGAGAATAGCAGCAGCTGATGAACACTCAGCATGCTGATGGTAAACGCTGTGTTAAGATCACAGCGTCACCAAATCACTCATTTTATCCTGGATTTGTTACAAATCTGAGACTTTTTTTTTTTTTTTTGCTTTTTTTTATCTTTTTGTTTTGAAAAAATGTATGGCTGTACTGTATAGCCTAATGAAAACAGCTCAACTGTTTTCTTTGCCAAACTGGGACAGATCTACAAAAACTTGTGTAGAAAAAACTGGGAGAGAGACACACCAATTAGTGAGTATGATTTTTGCTGACGCTGGCTCGCATGCACCATCAGCCTCTTTTAGTCGTCCTGTCTACTCTTAAAACCTGCTCAGCTCTGCAGGCTTTCCCCTGCCAGGCCCTCCATCTGCCCCGATTTTTGTCATTCCATGTCCTGTTCACTGCAGCGTCAGCGTCACAGATAGAAATGGTGGATTTAGAATGTCTGTGATGTTATCAGATAACACTAATGCTTATATTATGTGTTATTTACATCGCGACTGATAAGAAAGAATCACAGCCTCTCTGTGGCATGTAAAGACAATCATGGCATATTTACGCGTTTGGTATTGCAGTTGGACTCCAAACAAAAAACATAAAACAGTATTCTGTTCTGGTATTTGACATTTACGAAACACAGGCAGGGTTTAGTCCCCACAGTGCTGCGTGATTATGAAACCAGTGCAGTCATGTGATGTCTTCTCTCATCATCATCATGACAAGTTGGAAGTCTGACCTTCCGCCAGCACACAGTTTGCCATGCAGGGATTGAAGACTGCAATACAGCAGCAGTGGACTTGAGGCTACACTAGGGGCGGAGTTTGACCTCTCAAGTCTCAAAACATCACTAATCCGCGTCGGACATTCTGGCACAGGCCATCACCAGCCCCACTTGTACAAGAAAGGGACACATTTTCACCGGAGAAAAAAAAAAAAAAAACACTGTCCGGACCGGGTCTGTGTGGCATCAAACACAGACTCGGGCTGCCGCCTGTGTGCGCGTCGGAGGGATTGGTAATGCTGCACTATGACAGATAGTGCGTTACATGCGTCTGGACATATCTGCAGTCATTTCTAGCCAGTTTTATTCGCAGGATTCGGCGAGAAGTCGTGGGATTTGCGCGTTGACAGCTGGACCGCCCTGCGCCTTCATTGGAGGCGAGCAGCCAAGGAACCGCTTCCCTTTAAGGTGAGTCTGCAGAGCACTTGTTTTCTCAACGCCTGAATGCAAGTTGCGGCATATTTATGCTACTGTAGCTGACCGGGCGCCGTTCCCGTATACAGTTGACTGAGAGGCTGGTGGAGCACTGGCAGCATGCCTCCTGCTGTGGAAACGCGCTCGACGAAGATTGCGAGGTTTTCAAGGCAGGAAAACAAAGGATTGTTAAAAAATAAATTAAAATCAGTTCAATAAAGGATTTATGTCCTCGTTATGAACCCTTCTGCAAAGATGGGTGCTTAAGTGAGACCGTATAGGCCTATACAAGCGTCACATGGTGTTCAGAGAGGTTGGTGCAGAAACACATGTGGGCACTTTAACCAAATGTAAGCTTTAAATAGGATTTTTAAATATGAAAAATGTTTGAATATTTATGCAATTTTGTGGTAGAAATGACGTCATACAAACATACAATCAGTAATGTTTTGAACATATAAATTAAAGGCACATTTACAAATATGCCTCTAACAATATAAAACATAGTATATGCCTGTTCAACATCAAAAATAAGAATTTTTTCTTTGTCATGTGTTCGTAAGTGAAAATATTGATATCTCTCCACCTATGTATGAATATTACAAATGTACCCTAAACAAACTAGAAGAGCAGCAGATGAGGAAAAAAGTGTCTTCATCTCTGTGTTTTCATTTTATGGTGTTGGATTGAGCTTCTTGTCCTAAAATTTAATGTAATGGAATTTCAAGACAAAGCTACTGTTTATATTTATTATTACACCCCTAAAGTTTTTTTTATTTTTTTTTTAATTATAATTGCACATTATCATATTCATAAGAAAATAGCATTTCAGGGCAAAGCCGAACTGTACACTATCCTTGCAAATTTGAATTTAAGCAAGACTGCAGCATTTTGGGTTTAAAAATAGCCTAGCATTTGTATTACGTTTCAAAAAAAAAGTAGTATTGATAAAATGTAACAATTACAATCCAATAGGTGTAATGTTTAGGATTTATTGTAATGTTACCCCTTGCATTATTATACTGTTACCCTACTTATGTATATTTAATTTTTACTGTAAACAATGTATAAGTGATGAAGCAATGGCTGGGTGAAAAATACAATTAAAAACACAGGTAACAGAACATTTGTAAGTCTTAAAAGTTGAATGGGGTTTGTTGTTTCTATATAAGCCGTTGTAAAGTATTAAAAACAGTTCAGATGTTGTCATGTTCTTGCATCAGCCGTTGTGGTGGTCAGATTGGAGATTGTGGAGGGTTGTGAAGGCGGCTGATCATAGAGGTGGTGCCGAACTCAAAGCTCAGGTCTTATCTCTGTGGTTCTGAGATATGATATTCACAATTCATGGTTTCAGAATGAACTGCATGCATAGTTAATTTTAGTTTTTATCTGCTATATTGAGTAGAAGTGTTTGATCTAATGAGGAAAAGTTTATTTAAGTTTATTATTACATTATGTCTTCTACATTTATGGTTTGCCTCTCCCTTTCCTCCTTCCCCCAGATTTTATCGAGTTGCCATTCAATGTCCAGTAGCACATGGCTGAAACTGCCCTGTGGCTGATCCTGACAATGCTTTCAACAAACCGCTCTGGAGGTGCATGGGGATGAAATGGATGGAGCCCATGGCCAGACCAACGCACCAGCTCCCACCTCCCAGCATGTCCAGCTGCAGCAAGTCTCCAAACTCTGGAGAAGGTAGATGACACAATTCATCTGTCATCTCACCAAATAAGTCATTTGGATTAGTGATGTAATGAAAACTGTGTCCAAGATGAACTCAGTTTTTATCCATGGCTGCTTATTTTATCTCCACGGTGCCATGCAGTAATAATCCTATTTGAAAACCATCAGTACAGCAGTGCAAACTAAAACAAAATGAGAATGCACTGAAGTTTACAAGAATGAATATGTACTGTATGTTTAGTTTGTATGATTTCGTTAAATCAAGTTTAGATTACTGAAGAAGAACAATATATAATGGAATATACATAGCATGTAAATTGATCCAAAAGAATTAATTTCAATTCAATTCAACTTTGCTTGTATAGCACCAAATCACAACATACATTATCTCAAGGCGCTTTACAGGGTAAGATCAAGACCTCTCAATATGAGAGAAATCCAACAGTTTCCACAATGAGCAAACAGTTGGCAACAGTGGAGAGGAAAAAACTAAATTTTATTAGGAGGAAACCTCCAACAGAACCAGACCTAGGGTGGGTGGCCATCTGCCTCGACTGGTTGGGTTGAGACATAAAGAAATAGACAAGCACCCTCTATGTGAAACACAAAATATACGATACGATACGATACGATACGATACGATACGATACGATACGATACGATACGATACGATATGATACGATATGATACGATACGATACGATACGATACTTTATTGTCCCCATGGGAAAATTTGTCATGGACTCCAGTGCAGCATACATGTCAAAACATGAGGATTTGTTTCATCAGTTGCAGGCTCTAACTCCATGGCATGGGTGAAGATGTTCAAAAAACCTGGAGGAGGATTGAAGAAGTCCTACCAGCCTGGGAGCATGCTGTCTCTCGCGCTCACCAAAGGCCTGCTGAATGAGCCGGGGCAGAATAGCTGTTTTCTAAACAGTGCTGTTCAGGTGAGAACCATTTTCTACCAACTCTTAATTACTGAAAATAAACTTAAATTTAATTATTTTACTTATTTACACTGAAATAATTACAAAACTATGTCAATGCTCAAACAAACAATACATTCTTCTTGTAACATTTCTGCACTTAGTTTGAAGCACCACACTGAAAAGCAGCATACACAGCATTTTTGATCTCCAGAGGGCAGAAGTACACCACAAAACCAACTCCGCAAACTGTAAAACTACAGCACACAACAAACATCTTGTTTATTTGGCAAACATTTTGGGAGAAGCCTGGACTCAGCCACATGGATCAGCAAACCAAAATAATGAGCTGGAAATGATTAAAAGCTGTGAAAAGTTGCAGAGTCCAGTGTTAATTTTCAGTTTTCAGTAGCAACCCTTTTTAATTACACAAAGGCATTTAATTCAATGTTAATATCAAAAATAATTTAATCTGTCTCCGCAGTTCCAACTTCTGAAACCCCTGAATAAAATATCTCGATCTCAGCTGCTGTTGTGAATTCTTCGCAGGTGCTTTGGCAGCTGGACATCTTCAGGAGAAGTTTGAGGCAGCTCTCAGGTCACTTTTGTCTCGGTGATGCCTGCATTTTCTGTGCTTTAAAGGTTTGTAGGTTCGGTTTTTGGATTTAAAGCTAAATCAGACATTGTTTTGTTTTTATTAGTATTGTTTATTATGTCATATTTCTCTTTGACGATTCTGGTATTAAACATTTCCAATAATAATGGTTGTCAGGGATAGTTTTAACAATTGTCATGAACTAACTAATCATTGTTTTCTTTTTTTTCAGAGTATATTCAGCCAGTTTCAGCAGAGTAGAGAGCGTGTGCTCCCCTCCGACAGCCTGCGTAACGCCCTAGCTGAAACTTTTAAGGATGAGCAACGCTTTCAACTTGGCCTGATGGATGATGCTGCAGAGTGCTTTGTACGTTGACACTCAAAAGTAATAAGTCCTTTCCACAGTGACTGTTTTATTGAATAATGTTATCGTGCTTCCTCCTCTCACTTGGAGGACTCAGACTCTGTTTTATCATATACAACCATTTTAAATCTGTTTGAATTTAGTTAGTTGTTACAGAATTAGACCATGAAGATGTAGATGTTTCAAGTGTTTCACATACATGTTTGAGTGATGACTGATTGATTCACAGTTTGTAAGGAAACACAGAATTTTTAAGGTTTTAACATAACAATTCAATCTTTGTGTTTCTAACTGTGCCATAGTGCATATGTAGCAAGTGTATGTGCACGTATGCAATACTGGTACTGTATCTGCTCTTACTTCTTATCTAATAGGAGAACATCCTCGAGCGAATTCATTTGCACATAGTTTCAGACACTGCAACTGATGCTTGTTCATCCAAATCCTGCATCACCCATCAGAAGTTTGCAATGATGCTTTATGAGCAGGTAACTATTATTATCAGAGCTGTTTGTCATTTCATTTGTTCAATGATGTGGAAAAAAACTGTGCAGTACTGTTCTAAGATATGCATTAATGTGAAGTACATAGAGACGATAATAAGATGCTCAGTTTTTACAGGAGGAAGAAAAATGAAGGTGATTAAGAATAACAAAGAACGACTCCTACAGCTGCCATTACTAAATGTTAGAGTTGCGTAGTGTAGTTGTAGTGAGTTGATGTTAATGGCTTTTTAATGCACATGTCATTTGCTAAAAGGTAAATACAAAATGTAATCTGTTAAATAATCTTTCCTTTTCTTTTGCAGTTTGTGTGTCGCTGTTGTGGCGCATCTTCAGACCCACACCCGTTCACAGAATTTGTTCATTATGTCTCAACCACTGCTTTATGGTGAGTGCTGAATAAATGTCAAAAGTATTAAACAAGTTTGCTAGAAAATAATTTGATTGCAGTTTTCTTAGTTGAATATCGTTCCCTCCCTTCAACAGCCATAGTTTGAGTCTCTTTTTATATGTACAGTATATCGGAGTGTTTTCACTGTTAGTGTTGTTCTGCATAAATTTGTACGTTCAGGATCCTAAACTTGACCTTTAGAAGCTTGATGTGTCTTTTTGACACCTGAGTGATAAAAACGCATCACTGACATGTGCGCTGTCGTGACATGTTCTGTAACACGCTCCACCATTAATCACTTGTGATACTGGATTTTAAAGATTTAGTTAAATCATCATATTATTTAACAGCCAGGGTTGATTATCATCTCTGGGTCTGCCCTGACATTTCTCAAAAGGCTGAAGATGCCAGACGATTGTTTGGTTTTATATTTTCATAATTTCCTCAAATATGAGGCTGCACATGATGCCTGCTCAGTTCACTTTTTGCATGCATGTGTACTTGAGTCCTGCACACGGTAAAAAGTAATCGTTATTAAAGATTTGGCTTAATTCAAACCTCTTTTTCAGCGTGTACAAAAACTGAACATTAAAATCTTGTATGAAAATGTATGAATTTGTGGAAGATCTGTGCTATTGGATTGCATTTAATTGTATAGGTGTACTGAATAAAGTGGCCAGGGAGTGCATATCCCAGTTTCAAACAGTTCTTATTGATAGCAAGTTTGTTACTGCATGAGTAAAGGTTATGCGTGGAGGTTGTGGTGATTTTATTATTTATGAGCAGTCTCTGTGTTTACACGTTGTATACACAGCCAACAGGTTGATCGCATGTTGGGGAAGAACGAGCGGCTCAGGTCAGACATGTTTGGAGAATTGCTGCAGGCAGCAAACAACACAGGTGACCTCCGAAGCTGCCCGGTATGTGATTAATTGTTAATGTTTATTTTTATGTGATGTTTTTCTTGAATGAATTAACAAATCTTTTCAAAGTGGTGACTCAATACTTTTCCCTGTTCTGCTGTTTTGTCAAAACATCTGTCTGAATTCCACCATTAAATGCTGATTTGATACAGGCAGTTATTAATGAATAATTTAGCCATTCAGCCGAACAGTTAGCATGTTACTGTAAAATGGACACAAAAATAATTCTTGCAACTATGCAGAGTACACTCTGTGCTTTCTGCTGTGACACTGCACTTGAAGCGGCCGGAAGGAGACGGTGCCAGACTAGTGTTAGGATATAAATAGCAGTAAGGGCTTATCCACTGTTTTTCTCTCATCTGTATTTGCTGCCACTGTCTTCCTCTTCAGTGTGCATCTCTGTGGTGAAGCTGAGGGCTCTGTTCCAATGAACCCATTATTCTACCGGAAACATCAAACTGCAGTACTGACTTAACAATACTGATGTGCAGATATTACTGGCTCTTTTCCATCTTTGCAATAGTCCTAATTGTGGCATTTTGAAGTGATGAGTCACATGAGTTTTATTTCAGTCTTGTCTAAGTGTGTGTATGAGAGACAGAGAGATTGAGCCGCAAACTAAAGGACTACTCTGACATTTAGGAAAATTTGCTCATTTATTTCTTATTGAGACTTGAAATAAAACATCAATTCACTTTTATCTCTTTGGATCCATGATCCATGTTTAGCCTTCCTTCTGCACACAACCTGGAAGCAGGGGAACAGCTAACCTCAGCCGTGTTGTTTACACACTGACATCCTATTCTGTTTTATACGCTGCAGAGATTTTGACATTATTTCTGGTCGACTGGTTTCTGTCTTGTTTACTTTATTCCGGTATCTTTGATGACATTATCCATGTAGTGTAAAGCACTTTGTAACAATAGTTCTATTGATTTCTGTCTGACTTCAATGTTTTTCTGTTATGTATGTTGATATTATGATGGGCCTTCATATATGTTTTTCTACATATTTTGCAGAGTGACTGTGGCCAGAGTATCAAGATCCGCCGTGTGCTCATGAACTGTCCAGAGATTGTGACTATAGGATTTGTATGGGATGCTGAGCAGTCTGATCTTACGGATGATGTCATTCGTTCACTTGGCCCGCGTTTGAACCTGTGTGGGGTAAGAGCATCATCTCCGTCATCATCATTGTTGTACTGTGCAAAGCGATTTGCCAGTTGAGGCGTGAAAAGATTTTACCTAAAAAATGCATATCCACAAAATTCACAATCACAGCTCTCTTTTTTTTTCCTTTTGGTTATGATATTATAAAATGAAGGTTAGGAAGAAAAGGGTTATCAAAACCACACACATGAATTTTATTCTCATAGGATTTAGTGTCTGCCCCGAGAGAAATGTGCAGAGATCAAACTTCAATTTGCTCTCTTTCAGCTTTTCAACCGTGTCACTGATGAAAATGCCAAACGGAGCGAGCTACATCTGGTGGGGATGATCTGTTTTTCGAGTAAACACTACTCGGCTTTTGCCTATCACACCAAATCTTCAAAATGGATGTTTTTTGATGATGCTACTGTGAAGGAGGTTAGGAACTCTGCTATTAATCTGCTTTATCCCAAAGGTCTACTACCTGTTACTGTCTGTTACATGCTCTAATATCATACTTTTCTTTATCACAGATTGGATCCAAATGGAAAGATGTCGCCTCTAAATGTATCAGGGGACATTTCCAGCCACTTCTTTTATTTTACACTAATCCTGAGGGAAGTCCAGTGTCTAATGAAGATGCACCAAGACAAACCACAATGTGTCCCCGGTACAAAGCCCAAGTAAATGGTGACATGACAAGTAAGACAATCCTCCAGTTATCCACACATCTTTACATCTTTATTTACATATAGAGGCTTTACAATACCTTTACTGTTATATCAAACAATGTGACAGATGCAGCTGTTCTTTGTACTGCTAACTTTGAAAAATTATATATTTCAGTGATGTAGGGGCCTATAAAAATTGTTATTGCGCCATCTTAAACAACAGGTAACCACAGGATACCTCAGGATAAATGAAAGTGGAGGAGGAGTGGAGGAGGAGTGGAGGAGGAGTGGGGGTGGAGGTTTAAACACGAGCCACCTTCTTTCCTTTGAAAAGTGAGAATGGTAAAATCCACTCTGCTTCCAGATCATTATCTCCAGTATCATTACTGCTTATTAAACACAAACCTTGTCTTGAATCATCCTATTTTGACCACAGTCAGTTGCCGAAAGGAAATAAATCACTCACTTCCGTCCGTTGTAAGCTTTGGACCGTATGTATGACGAACAACTGCCTGTTTTTCAGATAATGAATGACTGAATTTAGAATTTGAGCTGAATCAAGATAGACATAATCCATCATAAGCTGCGTAGTCACAAAAAAAAAAAAAAAACCTCTGAGAAGTTATTTTTCACAAGTGGATGTGTCAGAGTGGATTAACTTGTTTATCCCATGGCTATTGGCCTGCAATTAAAAAAAGTATGCTTTGTTTATTTTGAAAGCAGCGTCCTTTTTAATTAAAACTTTGTGTCAGGTACACACACACACACACACACACACACACACACACACACACACAAGGTCTTTGACCCCCCTGGGAATAAATATTGCTTTACTGCTTCACAGAATAGTACACCCACAGTCTATAAAACACTTCATTTAGAACGGCGATAAGGCCTTCACATCGGCCTGGGTATATAATACATGTATGCCACATTTTCCACATGCATTCTACCTCCACTGAGAAACAAGTGTGGAAAGATGATCACTTAATTAGTAAAGAGTATGCAAGTAGACATCCCTAGAGAAGGAAGTGTGTGAGCGTCACTGTAACACATGTGATTTGTGAACTTTAGGCAGCTAATATTCAAGTCATTCTTCACAATATTTAACCAATAAAATGACTTACGTGAAGGCAACTGTACGCGTGCACACACACCTTTTTATCAAAGGTGCACATTTAATTATAAAGGTCAAGTATCTTAAGTCACCATATGCTCAATTAGGGTCCGATTAGCTCCGCCAAGGAGGTTATGTTTTCCCTCGTGTCTGTTTAGAGTTACACAAACTGATTTGCACTGAACTTGGTCATTTTGAGGCAGATCTGAAACATTTACTATGAATTTAAATTTTTGTCTCTAAGGTTTGATGTGTGTTGTTTGACACTGGCAGAGAGCTGTGCTCTCTAACTGCACTTCTAGTTGGTGTACAGGTTATAAACAGTCACACAAATGAAGAATAATTTTTGTAATGTGTCAGGTGAAATGAGACAGCAACATAGTAGTATTATTAATGACTAATAAGAGAGTGATAGGAATTACAATATTTATATTTGTCTGATAATGTATTTCCAAAAAAATCATATCTATTATAACATTTGAACAATTTTTCTAAAAGTATCATTAAGTGAAATTAAATGTCAACAATGCCAGTACCTATGACAATAATGATGTCACTCCAAAAAAATTACAGTTATGGTTTGCATTGGGATTGAGAGAGTGTTGTTAAACCATGGGCAGAAAGATTGTCCTGCCCTGTGTGCTGGCTTGAACTTGACATGAGGATGATGCCTCTGTTTGCACGCAGATTACCACCCACGCCTCCCTCCCTAATCCCTGCTCCTGTGGCAAAGCGCACTCATGCTCCTGCTCCACAGTTCTCACTCCTCCCCTAGACATTTCCGATGTTTGTCTCCATTAATATATCTGGTTTTTATTTTGGTTTTTTTGGCAATGGCGCCTTGCCCGTTTAGATGGATTGTTCTGCTTTAGTGCGGTGGCCAGACACTTTGACTGGCATGGGACGGCATTCTTGTTTTTATGAAAATAAGCGTAAGTAAATGATATTTTTTTAGTGTTAGAGTCAAGCGTAGCTCAGATTGAAACATTTATTGTTTTTTTTACTATAATCTCATTTGTTAAACTATTGTTGAGGCTTACTGAAGTACTGTTAGTTTTCCCTACAGTACATAATGATAGGAGTTTTAATTTCTTCCAATTTAATTTATCCACTCCAACTACAACTAACCAAGACAACTGCCCTGCAGCATTATAAGACACTTGCATTACTAAGCTTGAGAGTGTCTCTGTAACTTCAGGCAACATGATGAAGTGTGTATTAGTTAATTACATGGCAGTTGTCTGAATCTAGCATGCTTTTTCAGTAGAGGTCTTGTACTTATGTCAGCATTAGGCTACATGAATAAATCTGAAAATCCATAATACTACAGCTTACTCACTGCTGTTACTCACCACTGTTGTAACATCCAGCAGCCATGCACATGCACACAGCTTTATGCAGTTTTTATAGCTTGTGTTTAAGAGAGAATTTCCTTCACCTGTTTCCTATTTATTATACTGTCATTATATTTTGCTGTAGATCTTCACAAAAATGTGAAGCATTGTCTTGAAGCACAGTACTAATTGCGTAAAAACTCAGTTGTAAAGAAGGAAACAGTGCTGCAGAAAGTGATCTAACCAAGACGCAGAAAGGAGGTGTTGAGATATAAAACTGAAAGACAGTGGCAGCTGTTAGGTAAATGTGCTGATTTGGAGGCAGATGTTCGCACTTCACTGCAGCTCTGTTTCTCGCAGTGACCTGCTTGCTACAGAGGCAAAGAGGCACACTACAGTGTTGGCAAATCTGTAAGCAGTAGTGTATTTTAACATGCATGATGCACTGGCATCTGTTCTTAGGTAAAGAATTTTTGTTTTGTTTTGTCTGCATTTGCAGAAAGGATGCAAGGTTATCAAAACATCTATTATAGCGGCACTGGAATTTGTAATGAGTGACAGAGTAGTTAGTAATGACCTGACTGATGAGCCTTGGTCAGAGAGTTGAGGATATAATGATGGTTTCTGAAGCTCATTGCCTGCAGTGCATAGCACACTGTAAATTAGTTTGAACCCAGAACAAGTTACGGGGCCATCAGATGGCTAAAACACCTCAGGTTAACCTCATATGGAGAAATTTCATGTTGTACCCCAAAACAGTCAATGATGTACACAGTCATGTCATGTCTTGTTTTTCAAGTTCATTGATGTCTTCTGCAGGTAAAGCAGCTGACACTAATGTCAGCAGGCCTGAGAAAATGCTATTTATGAACCAATAAAAAAATCACAAGTTCAAAGAACAGCAGCAGTTTTCTGCATTGAAGCACAGCAACTCATCTGCCATTTCATTTTTTTCCCCTCAGCAAAACATCCCCTTGGCAGTCCTAACAAATTCCAGGAACCTTTCATGGAGAATTTGCAGAGGCCAGGTGAAACGTCAAAAAAGGACAGAGGGCATCGGAGAACTGACCCATCACAACACAAAGGTAGGGCATTGTGTCAGCATCATAGGTTTAGGGGGAACACTGATATTACAGAGGCAAAAACAAAGACATACAGGGGCGATACAGTGCAGATAATTGTAAGTCACAAGATGTTGGAAATAGTCATTCCACTAATGATCTGTGTCTACTTTGTGTAGAGATGGCTCATGCAAGATCATCACCTCCTCCAGAGAATGGACTGAGGCCTCCTGCGGACCAAAAATTAAAAAGCTATCAACGCACTGAGAAGTCATCAAACCATTCAAGCAGAGGATCTCAGGAGCCACGTGGACAGTCCTTGGGCACACAGGGTGGTGGGCATGGCCAGAAAAACAACACCTCCCCAAGTCGCTATGATCAAGATAGCTGTCAGGAACAATGGGAAAAAGGTGTAAGTGGAGGAAGCCGCAATAAATCTAAGTCCACTTGGAGACCCATCCGGGAGGTGTTGAATGTGGACACTGTGCTGAACGAACTGGAGCAGCGCCGGCAACAGCAGCATGACAGTCCGCGGCGCAGCAAGCCTTCCTCACTGGAAAGGGTGCACGCTGAACCAAGTCGAGACCATGAGAGGGAATATGTACGAACCAGAGACGATCGAAAGCAGAAGTGTTTAATGACGATTTATGAGGATGAGCAGAGGCTTGAGACTGAGAGCCACAGCTCTGTAGAGTCAGAGAGCAGGGCCAACCAACAGAGGGGCAGCAGGCTTAAAGGTGGCCCCAAGACGCTGCTGCGTAGTGACACCTGGACCATTCAGAGGACAGAGTCTGGCTATGAGAGTAGTGATAGACTCAGCAGTGGCTCCACCAATCCTGACTCACCTGGGGTTGATGGCTTTGCTGTTAAAGACCAGAGATCAACACCAGAGGCACAGTTGCAAAGGTAAGACACAGCCGTGTAATTTTTCGGGGGACTTCTGCACAAGGACAAATGGAGGTGTGGAGTAAATACTGGATTACTGACAACTACAGATGTGGTAACAGCCTGATGTTAAGAGCCTATTCCCATGCAAATTTGGAAGAAACCCTTTAATTAAATAAAAACAACTTGTTTGTTTTGAAAATTCATACCAGTAACAGTCCAAATTGTGGATCTTAAATACTGTCCTATAAATAATTCTCATTCGGTAATTAGTCATGGTCCCACTGTACAGAAACAATGAAACAGTTTTTATGTTTTATATGTTTTCAAGTGAAGGGATTATGTTAATAGCTGATGAACCACATGCTTCTCTTCTATTTTTTCTATTTCTCAGATATTCAGTGCATGCATGCAGGGGTTTGCTATTCTCATCATCATCACCCAGGAATACTTTTGATTTCCTTGGAAACTATAAACACAACACGTGTTCCCATGACATTCCCTTTTCAAACAACGTGTATAATATCAATGTCAGGAAGATGGTTGACACTGTACTATACTGTAACTGTCAATTTACATTCGGTATTTATTCGTTATGATTTGAAAAATAAATGCAACAACTCATTACAAATTATTCCTTGAGATGAAAATGATTTGTCAAATTAACTAAAAAAGAAATGGCCAATGATATACTGCAATATTAATAAGCTTTGTATATATGTATATATATGTGTGTGTGTGTGTGTGTGTGTATATATATGTATATATATATATGTATACACACATATTAATATATGGTATAAGTATAGTATAGTTTTATATACTTATTTATACGTATATATATATATATATAGTATATATAAGTATATAAATATAAGTTTTAGTAGTTACTTAGCTGCTGCTGTATTAAAAGGTTTCTCAGCATATGGTTTCTACACATTGTATTTTAAAACAATAATACATCAAAAGACAAAAATGTTTAATGTTTTGTACTTATGTTAAACAAAAAATCACATTTTGGGATGTTAGAATCCCATTAGCCTGAGCAGACAGTGATTTGGAAAAGTCTTTGTTTCTGCCAGTGTTTTTCATAGGTTTCTGTGCATTATTTGTCTTTCTTTTGTTTGTTTATGGCTGTGCTGAGACATTTTACATTTACTGTATTAACTGATTAATCAGCTTGAAAACATGCTAGTACATGACATGAGAGTAATTTTTGTCTCTTATTTCCAGCCAGCTGCATCAAAAGGGAGGCGATGCAAAATCAAGTATAATGTCCTCACCTTCATACAACGGTCAGTTCTAATACTTACTGAGCTTCGTTAGTTTTTCCTAGCACAGTAAAAATCTCAGCAGGTATTAAATACAGTGTGTGGAATAACCACATCCAGTTACCTAGTTCTGACTATTAAATATTACATTTTTATTTAGTTTTTGGATTGTGATAAGTTAAGTAAATTTAGTTTAAATTATATTGTAGCCTGACGCAGTGTATGACATAATGTGATGCGAATGATTATCCCCTGGCAACAAGTTCACTCAAGTTAACTTAAAAACCACAAAGCTGAAGTAAAAGGATAGACTGAGATACCGATAACAAAAGTAAGATGAAAAAAATATGAAACTTTAGAGCATAAAAGAACATGTCACTGTTTACTGTCAGTTACATCTCACATCTAATCCTCAAACCTCCAGGAAAAGATTTGCAAAGAAAAGAATTAAGTCTTCGTAGATCCAGTATGTAATTACAAGGGACACACACGGGGTTACACACAATGGCTTGAGTATATTAACACATGACTCTCGTGTCCTATATTATTAAGTGTAAGAAAGGTTATTTCATTTTGCCCTATGCGAGTAGGTGCCTGCCACAGGAGAGCAATTTCCAAAAGAAACTTTTCTCTGTTTACTTCTGTCTATTTTGTTAGTCTTTAAAAACAAACAGATGAAGTGTCATCCACCTCTTCTACTGATAATGTGAGAGTAATTGAAGATTGATTAATGTCAGAGTTGATTTCTGAGCTTGTTCTGGCTTATTTAACCTCTTCACCCAGTCAGCCCTGCAGAGGCATTAATCTGATAATAATCCTACAAAGCTCGTTCAGATAGCACAGCTGGACATGGCTGCTGGCATTGTCATGAATATCTTTCTGTTTCATGCACTGCTTTGAGTCTGCTGCACTTGATACTTTATCGAGGCTATGTGCATCTAGAGCCAGTGTTTCCAACTGGCAGCTTTTATCCTTGCATGGACCTCTCCAGGGCAACAGCAAGGGAAAAAAATAACACGTCTATTTTTAAAGGGAAGGAATTCGGCACCACACTGCTTCTCGCTGCGCTGGTGCATGGGGCGAGCGCACTGACTGGTTCATCCAGCTGTGAGAGAGTCTAGTGAGATTAACACTCTGCCGCCACCTTGTGTCCTGAGAGGGCAACAGCTTCTTAGTCAGATGTGTCGGCCCCTTTGTCTTTGCTTAGTGTCTGCCTTTAATTAATTGTGTGTGTGTGTGTGTGTGTGTGTGTGTGCGCCTGTGGATATGCAGATGCCCACTTCATAATTAGTGACGAAGATTAGGGCAAAGTGAAAAAACAGTATTTAAGCTTGGATATTAATCTCAGAATTCAGAGAAAAATAAATCTGAATTATGAGATTAAAGTCTAAAATCTGCGATTCAGAAGAATTCTGACTTCATTCTCAGGATTCTGAATTAAATCTATCAATTCTGAGAAGATTAATCTCAGCACTTAAATCTGTTTTTCACTCTACTCCTCTTCCTGAGATTGTTTTTTTTAGGGCAGATGAATTCCCATTTGTTAATATTATTAGGGATTTTTATTTTCTGTCATAGTTTAGAATATTTCTACTTGTGATCAATTGTCCTTTAGGGCACAATAGTAGTTTTGTGCATTTATACATGCTCTGCATAATTTCATTCCAGAGTTAACGAGGTCAGAAGACAAAAATACTTTTTCCAGTAATTACAGTATGTAAATAGCTATTTGTCACAGTAGTGCAGACCTGTCCAAAAGGAGGACTGCTACACAGACTGTATTCTCAATTTTTAAATTGTCTCTTTTTCTGTCACTATGTTTTGATCACCTTTATTTTATATTTTATAGGTAAACATCAACCCAAACCTCAGGGAAAGAACCATGACCAAGTTTCACATTCGCATCTAAAGTGCAGTCCAAGTTCGAGGTAGTGTACATTTTATTCAAGTATTCCCATTATACATGAATAATCACTTCCATTATTCTCTGTTATAAACAATTCTCTCTCTTTTTCGTAGACGGAAATCAAAGTACAGTTGTAGCACCTCCAGGAAAGCAGTGTCTTCAGACAGGGATTCTGCTGGTTCCGATAACAGGCAGAGTGATCAGCAGGAGCTGACAAACTGTAGAGAAAGTACAGCCCTGAGGCATATCACAAAAACCAGCAGCTCAGAATGGAACAGCTCTGATGATCTTGCTCTCTCGGAGCCCGAGGAAAGAGAAAGCACTTACCGCTCCAGCAACAGCGAGGCCGTCGCCTCTGATTCCCAGCGTCCTCATATTACCCCGCCATACCACCCTCCCAGCAATGTGACTGCAGAACCTCTTCAACTGAACAATCAGCGTCAGCTCGGCACGACAGGGTCACCTCACCTTCGATCCACCCAGCGGATCTCTCCTCACCAAGGCGAAACAAGCCATGCCGTGTTTCGTCCAAGGATGCTTCAAGAACCCTTTCCATCATCTCCTCGCCTTTCATCCACATCCTATGTTAGTCCTCACAGGAAGCCCGACATGTCAGGCCTCCGAACCTTCTCAGATGCAAGCTCCAAGTCTGGCTCTGACCCAGAGAGGAGTACCCCATCGTCATGTGAAAGCGAGGAAAGACTGACTGGATGCAGAGCGGAGCAGGCGGTGCCAGCTCAAGAGGTTTCTCTAACAACATACTTCAATGTGGATAACTGTATGACAGAAACATACCGTCTCAAGTACCACAACCAGAGGCCTCTTGTCCTCTCTGCCACGGTGCCACGGACAGTGGTTGCAACTGAGCGGAGAGATACCAGCCACACACTCCCTGCTGACACACACTCACAAGATGTGCCAAAAGCCAGACCTGAAACAAGTGAGCCTCCATCACTATGCTTGCAAACCTGAATGTACTGTGGGGCTGTGCAGGACATAATATATGTACTGTGAGATGATTTAATTTCAACCACCAGAAATTCTGCTATACTGTTGATCCTGTAGCAGCCAGTCCTTTAATATGTCTGGTTGTTTTATGAAGCAGGACCATTGTATGGAAGATTTAGAATCGTATCTGATTTCTGCATCAATAATGAAGCCCCTTGTTTTGTCAAGCATTTAATTTGTTGTGTCAACTCCAATCATGAACAATTTCCAAGTTAATTTTGAAAACTTTACTCTTCCACCACATGCGTCAATATCACAATATAAAATTGCATATTACCCTAATGGAGGGTTATATTTATATCGCCCACTACTACCTGGAAGATATTGGAAAAGACAAAATGAAAGTATTCAGTTGTCTTCTCTGTCGTGGTGTAAATGTACACAAGGGGAAGCTCCATAAAACACAATGTTAATAATATTTTTTTGTTTTTTCTTTACAGGCCATAATAGCAATAAACCCACTGCAAAATGGAACCCAGTGTCAGCCAAAGGACTGGATGATCATGGTTTTTTATGAGTGTTACTTGGTAAGTTTTGTTTACAAGGATGGACAGTGGTCAGTGGAGTACTAACTGGATGCCAAAGAGTTTAGAGAACGGAAAGATGTTCAGAAGCCCGCCATCTCCAAATTGAGCGGAATGTATTTATGCAAGGTTGTCACATAAGTTAAACCTATTTCTAAATGCTGTCATGTATTGTGTGACAGATTATCAGCTATTACATATACTGTCTTCCATTGTCCTGCAGCATTGCTGCAAGAAGATTTAGTTTTAACCAAAATCTGGACTGTTCTCAGTTTGCACAAAGAGTTTTTTGAGTCTTTTAATCACCTTATGTCAAGTTAAAAATGTTTATTTTTTTATTTGTACAGTAGTTCTGCAGAAGAGCTGCAGAGTTGAAGATATATACCGATACATGTAAAGTCAGGCATGAGAGATAATGGTGAGCCACCATTAGACTGATTGTACTGTGGTTTGCACAGTAATTATACAAAGATGACAGAATGAAGTGTGATAACAAATCACAGCATGATAACATGAAGGGATATGTGAAAGATACTTTATCAGAATATGATGTCATTCTATAAAAAAATGAAATAAAACCTTCCGCAGCAGGTTAAAGGTAGTTCATTTAATCACACCAAAGGAGAGTGAAGTAATAATATTGGAAAAGTTTTTTCTGGGCAGCTTACTGATTTTATGCACATTGAGGGCTTTGGGTCACCAGGGAACAGATGTTGCAACATTCACTTATATTCGGTTACTGATTATTTGTTATCATTTATCAGTTCTTTTACAACATGTATCTGTTAATGAATGACTGCAGGCTGCCCCGTAACAGCCAGCCTCCCATTGGCTGTGAAAATCTGCCAAGAAAGATAAATAAATCATTGCTTCAAATGATTTGTTCATTTTGCTGGAACATTATAGGCACATTTCATGCCATCATTCATAAAAATGTAGAGATCTTTGAGAGAAACAGACTGTGTTCAGTTTCGGTCAGTTACAAAGCCTATCATTTGTAGACTATGACGTTCTGTAGCTGGGGCAGCCCTAAGGTTATTCAGCAGGTCACTATATACGATCATGTAAACTTGTGTATTCTACCTTCGATTGTGCTGGTTCTTGTAATCCTTTTTTGTAATTCACAGTGATGTCAAATTGTATTTTTTCAGTCTTCCTCTTCAAGTAGAAAGATTTAAACAGGTCTGTATTTGCAGGTATTTTCATAAAGATGCCAATATACTTAATATGCCTCTCTGATATTATTATTGACCATACAACACAAAAACACAAGTATTCTTGTTAATAAGATTAATGTTCTGAAACCTGCATGTGGCCTTTACAAAGTCTTACTAGCTGTGTGTACAGCATAAGCATGAGCATGAAAATATTGGACTGTGAGTCCAACAGACATAAATTCTATTGGATTTTACTGAATTGAAATAAAATACATTAATTAAACAGCATTTTGTAACAACAGTTGATTTGGAAACTTTTTAACACTTGAATGATGTTCTATTCTCTTGCTCATGCCAGAACACATACTTTTGTTTATGCATCCATTGTAAATATAAACGGATGATGCAAACAATATGCTGGAATATGCCTGTCCAACACATACTATGCATTCACTAAAAGTTACTTTAAGATTACTTTAACAGCAGATTTTGGTGTTTTTTAAAGCTTTGTATTCTGTACATCAGACATTCCTGAGAACACATAAAAATCAGTGTTACTCAATTTTCAAATATTAATATCAATTTAATTTTCTGGACATTAAATTGCCAAGTCTTTTCCTAAACATCCTGCCATTTATACATTATACATTCATGTGTGTTTTCACTTGCTTTGCATTTTTTTTTCAAGGTATTGCTCTACTATTGTCACTGCACATACTGGCTCACATTTGCTGTTTGTGTGTGTTGTGTTTGAGTTGTCTGACATCAGAGATTTATGTGTGTGTGTGTATGTGTGTGTGTGTGTGGGTGTGGGTGTGGGTGTGAGTGTGGGTGTAATCACACCTAAACATGTAACCTAAACATCTATTTGCATTTTTCACGGTTTATTTATTGACACTGTTAAAATTGAAGAAAAAGGAAGCATCTTCTAATAATGTTTCATTATTTTCACTTTCATTCATTATATAACTCATGCCTTTACAAGCTGATTGTGCTGTAGTTATTATAACTCTATTTTTTTACTGTTATTTTAAGATATCTAATATAGTAAGTAGATAAAGAAATCAAAACTACTAAATCATTGGCTGAAGCTGAATTGAGTATATTAACCAGGTTATCTTAATGTTGTCTCACCTGCAAAGTGTTTTTGTGGTTTGTTATGTGACTAATGGTTCTATATTTTATCTACAGTATTTTTCCTGTTAAAATGATTTCCTGTACCTGTAAGAAAAAAATAGGAACTTTTATTTTACATTCTGATCTGTGTGTCTTCAGTTGTATCAAGAGTGCCTTGACATTTTCAGTGTGTGTGTGTGTGTGTGTGTGTGTGTGTGTATGTGTGTGTGTGTGTGCGTGTGTGTGTGTGTGTGTGCGTGTGTGTGCATGTGTGTGCGTGTGTGTGAGAGTGAAACCACACTTATGGAATGAAGGAGATGAATGAATGGGATGGAGGAGGTCATGCAAAACTTTTGAATATGCAATGCTAATAGTGATAATAGTGACATATCTGCTGACACTCCTTTGTGTGCACCCTTGTACTGTGTTTGTGTGTGGGGGGGTGGGGGGTGAGGGGGTTGGGTGGATTTGGTGCCAGGTCTAATCTTCCTAAAAGCCCTTTCAGACTTGGAAGCTACAGCCTCAGCGGCAAGCAGCAAACTCAGCGGTTCACTTTTCATCTAGCTGCAATTGGCAAGTTTGACATGTTCAAATGTCATCAGCAAAAAGTGGGGCAGTCAGTGCTTGTAAGTGGCAAGTACATCCCACCTCCTGGGTGGTGAAGCTGGGTGCTTCCAAGTTTGAAAGAGCCTTAATGTATAAAAACAAGATTTTTTTTTTCCAGTGCTTGTCCTGGGTTATTATATGTATATGTGCATCTGTGCGCTTGCAAAAGGAAGCTGATAATTGCACCAATGATCCATAGCTTTCAGTTGAAGGCTTTATATACTATAGAGGCCCATTTGATGAAAGGTCTTTTTGTCCTGTGTCACATAACGTCACAGCTGGTATTGCATCAATCCGAATCTTTTATCTTGTGCTACATATACGGGGTCAGAACCTGATTACACTGTACTGCATCAACACTCGAGAATAAGAAATAACTTTCCACTTTATGTCACTGATTTTATCTGATATGGCCTGATGTGAAGACCTCACTGAATCCTATTGTCATACCTCTGTGTGTGGTTAGGACTCAGCTTGACATTACTGCTGAATTGAGTTGTCGGTGCTTCAGTGATAGACTTCATGACTTGCGTAAGTATAGACCAATTTAAAGAAACATGTCAAATCTGTCTACACTTTATATTTTTGTAGATAATATATATTTATTTTTATTCATTGTTGAATAAAGTTTAAATTATTGTATCACTCTAAAATGAGTCATTTTAATGTGTCTTCTTTAAATTCACATTCTCACTGAAAATGAAGATTTTGACAAAGAACACAGGCAGAAAGGCTTTATTACTGCAAGTATCAAAATCCATTGCAATTCAAATATATGGCATTACAAGTAGTGCACTTTTTACAGGTTATGCTGGTATATGTAGTTGATAAATCGAGACAATACTGTATGTAATCCTGTGGTCAAACATTTGTGGTCTAACCCCTCTTGAAAATTCTTTTTGCGTCCACACCTTCGTAGTTGTAGCTCTGTTGGAGAAAGATGGTAACAGACACAGTTATTATATCATTATGTCATAGTTCTGCATTTGGCGTAATAGATGGTTTACTACATTTGAGGTCCTTATCCATAACGCATTAATAAAATGTAAATCAGTATATAATATAACAGTATCTCGTGACTCAGACATACAAAGAGAGTGGCAGCTGGAATATCAAAAAACAAGTAATGTCAGTCAACAAGTGATTGACATAAAATAGGGATTGTTGGTGCCCTAATTTGCATAGATACAAATTCATCCTACCTGTATGAGCTCATCTCCTTGGATGATTCTGGTTGTTGTCAGCTGTTTCCCATTGTCCTTTCTGTTGAAAACTCCCTTCATCATGTCTCCCTCCATGATCCATGAGCCCTGCAGGGTGAAACATGAAACTAAGTCACGACATGAGTACTAGGTGGAAAAAGCTTTGCAGAAGTGCTGTGCTAGTTGACAGTTTTATGTCTCTGACAGTTCGTGGTACTGGGCACAAGGATATTGATTGTTTTCTCAGCTAACAAATGACCTATCTCTTGCAGCTCAAAGATTCAAAGTGAAATACCCAGCTCACTGCAAAGTATTCAGAGAGTGATCACAAAAAATAACAACAGTCTGACTGGGGAGAAACTTGGATCTTGTAAAGCTTGGTTCTGAGTAATTGACAGTGTAATGATGGATAAAGGCGCCCCATTAGATGCCGCTTTTGCTTACTGATAGTTCTGTTCCATCTGCAAGGCTGTACTCAAAGGTGACCCCCAGGGTGAAGTCTATTTCCAGGGTGCGGAAATTACTGGTCTCCTTGACATGAAACTTGTCTCCAGTCTGTTCGATGATTATCTTGAGGTTGTCGTGAGCAGCCAGCTTCCTCTTCACCATGTTAATTCCTATCAACAGACAACTTGAACATGTTCAATAGGCTCTGAACAATCACAGGAAATTTGTCAGGATTTAGTCCCTTTTCATGCGCATGTATTACAAAGGTAGTTCCTTGGTTTGAGTATTTGTCGAGGGTAAGTATGTACAAAAGCCAAATCACAAACCTGCCAAATGTACAGGAGGTCATCATGCCACCAAGTCTTTTCAGTTGAGACCTTGGCTCCAGTTTTTGTTCTGTTTTCTGATTTAAGTGTCTAAAGACTTGAGATATTTATATAATTTATAGCTTAAATTATAGCACCATTTAAAAATAATTATAAATGTGACCAAATAAAAAAAAATCTCTATTATCAGTTTGTTGCATAATTGACATTCTGACTTAGAAATCTTTATATGATGTGACTAGCTGCACTTTATCAGTGTTATATCAACTGCCTTATCAGCTCTTGATAATATTTATTGTCATCCTTTTACAGAAGGAATAGATATAGCAATGAAACACACTATAGTGTTCGTAGCATTGCATCAAATACCAGCTATTTAAGAAACATCTTTAACAGTCTAAAGCAGATTATCAGCAGTTTGATATCACTCACCCATTTGTTCCATGAATTTCTCATAGTTGTCATTGCGCTCAATTTTCCAGGAGCCGTTGAAGGTCATGTTGACTGTGGGGTATGAACTGGACAACTCTGCAGCAAGGAGTGTCTTACTCTAAGTCTGCTGCTGCTTTTAAACCACACACTTCCTTATCTCATCATCTATCTGAATGCTGATGTGGCCGTTTAAAGCTCATATTGTCTCAAGGCAATATCCAGCGCTGCAGCTGATTGGGAAACGCAGTGGTTCTGAAAAGAAAGAACTGTGCCATGCCCAGTAAACCACGCCAACTGACACGGTATTCTTTTTGAATAACAGAACCATCGGCATCCTGTTATACCTGTATCTCTGTTTACAAAGGGCGTTGGTCTTTGCTTCACACATTAACAGTACTCAGTGCAGGACTGCAGCAATGAAGCAGACAATATTTGATATAATGATATAATAATTATATAAAAATATATAAAATATGTTTCTAAGTTTAACTTGAAACACAACAATTTAATGCCCTGTACCTCAAGCTGAGACAAAAACATAATAAACTGAACAGACCTGTTGAAGCATATGTGAATACAATGTTTGCACTTCGTTAAATCTGACTGTCTTTGATGTAATTTTACTTCTTGTCACTCATTAGACAAGACATTATTACACTTGATGTAACTGCTTTATACAAATAATGCAGTGATCAGTTGATATTGTGTTTCTGATGAAACCTTCAACCTTAATCTGGCCATTGTTGATAAGTGAGACCTTTGATATTTTAAGTTAATATTAAACACACACTAGTGTACACAGTCATCATTTGCAACACATTGTGTGTAATTAAGATCAGCTCAATTGATATTCTTTATAGTCTCTCTGGGTAAACACAAAGCTTATGCCAGTGAGAAAATGTTTTTGTAGAGTGTCTCTTTTTGTTTTTGAGTTTGGGTTTTGGGTATTTATGGGCAATTTGTCATAACAGGATGATAGGCATTCATTTACTGATACCAAGCTAACTGAGGTGTCAAAAAATGTTCATAAAATATTTCTCTCAAGCAGAAGAAAAGCAAAAAACACGCACATAAAAGATTATTTATTAAATATCCCCTGCCAAATCTGACAAAGAGATGAATAAAACATGCACAACATGTCAGTTATCTCTTATCTGAGTTTCTTTTCATCAATATGTCGCACGAGAGACCTTTGCCTGACCTTCACTTCCACCTCAATGAATCTGCCGCTTATCACATGAAAGACCTTTCTACTATGACTTCAGTCATGAAATTGACAGATGTGCTTGGGACATACTAGATTAAGACCTTGTGAGGCTAATCTTTAACACAATTATATCACACAAAGTTTGATCCCAGTTTTATCTGATGTAACACTACATGCAAAATGATAACATAGCGTATGAACTGAACACATTTCTCCACATTCAGCATCACTGCAATTAATTTTAAGAATTTATTGATAACTTTTGAGGATTGGTTTTAGGATTTAAGTGCTTATAAGGGCCAGGGTCGAGGTTATATTCAGAAACATAGCTACAACTAGTCATTTTTTACAGTTCACATTTTGTCATATTACGGCAGAAAACACATACGTAGGTGCAATTAAAAACATAAATAAT